TATTTACCACTACAGGAGGAATGGCACCGGAGGCCAAGCGTTTCATAAGGAGACTTGCTGTGTTGATAGCCACCAAAACAAAGGAGGACTACAGCCAGGTGATGTGTAACATCAGGACACGCCTGAGCATGGATATAATGAGGAGTGTGCTAGTAGCAGTTAGAGGTGTACGTGGAAAGGCAAAGAAGGCATGGACTGCCCCTATATCCAATGTCTCCTTCAACCTGATACCTGAGGAGAAGAGCTACGAGGGATAGATGATATCTATTGCTCAGGATTTACGATTGTGCTCTGCCAATTGCATCACTTGATTTAATTTATTGTATATATACTGTTTGACATTTCTGATATTAAAAAAAAAAAGTCGCTATATTATGTGTATATTGTAGATTTTTATCGTTGCATTATTAATGTTGAATGATTAACACAACAGTTGACAGTAATCGATTTTAAAAATGAAATCAATCTTCATTGAAATTTGCTAGACCTTGAACTGAAATAAAAAGCTTGGCACTGAGGAAAGTCGAACAAACATGCAAATTGTCCGTAAATTTGTAATAGCAAATTGATTCAACAAGAATTAAATAATGTGGCTAAGGATACCCTATCAAGCTAATCAGTGGGGAAAGTTGCCTGTTGGCGCCCCCTGCTGATAAAGCACCCCCTATTTGGTGCCCCTTTTTGTTTGTGCCCCTCTCTAAAATTGGACAAATTAGATGATTTTATCCTTTTGATATTGAGATATTGGTATCTCAGATCACGTGTACATCGTTCCTTTTTTATGACACAGTAATTTATTGACACTCACAGCTATAATTTTAATCATTGAATCAGTATTTTTATCTGTGCTCTGCGTAATGCATCACATGAATCAGTTTTTAATCTATTAACTTATTACACATTTGTGCTCTGCTTTAGCATCACTTGACTATTTAAAAAAATTGTTTGTTCAGGCCAATTGGCCATTGCTGAAATTGAATGTAATTTATTCATTATCTTACTTGTTTGTATGAAAAAAAAAAAATTAGATGATTTTAGAGAATACGCCAGTAAAATTTCTAAATAAGTGTGTTTCTAGAGCTGTTTATACTACTTAAAGGGTGTTTATAAATTTTATTTAGTTTTCTATTGAATTTATATTGAATTTTTATATAGGGTAATTGTTATATTATGTGTATATTGTTTGAATAATTTTTCCTTCTTGTTTCTAGAGCAAAGCTCACAGTTTTGCTAGTACTGTAGTTAAGTTTCTTTAAATTGTCCCTCATCCCAACGAAGATTTGGCGCTCCCCTAAGATGGCACCCCCAGCACAGCGGGGTCGGCGGGGCCCTTCGTTAGGCCACTGAAGCTAATGGTGTCATATAATGGTGTTAAGCTTGCAGAGAACTTAATTGAACATGAACACTGAATATGGAATAGCACCACAAGGTATCCCTAAGTACCGGGCAGCTGACTGGTATAGTGGTATATTGCTCACTCCTCCCTGGGAAAGAGAAGCGAAGCTAATGTTAAACTCACTATACTTGATCAAACCCGGCTATTGTAATAAAAATATTGCTGATGTCCCTCCCTGTTCATTATTTCAAATCTATTTGTTTCTTTTAAAATAACCCTTGATGTGATTGATATAAGGTTTTATGATGTTCCAACCTACACATTAATCTTCGTACGTTATATTCTCAACATTATTCTTCTCAGTCCAATGTTTTATTGCCAGGCAATATACCCTTGTATTGGATCCACATTGTGAGGTGATATCAGCTGTTGCAAATAACGATGGTGTTTTTTGGATTACCCAAAAATTTAGTCAACTTCTTCACCAACTTTGAGATACCTCAAATAGTTTTCCTTGTTCATGCTCCTCAAGATGAAGAGCTGGGTGAGAACACTGTGCCTACCCAGAAGTTTATCTGCAATTCTGTTATATTGGCCATACACAGTGAAAAGTTCAGGAAAACCATTTGTGCCGGAAGTACAGAAATATATCTTGATGGTTTGAGTGACCTTGAAGGTACAGATACAGTTCGGAATTGTATTGAGTTCATGTATGGTAATCGTTCTATAGTTCGAAAAGTTGACGACATTATTGGAATGTTCAAGTTTGCCGATATTTGGGACATTCCTAGTCTTTGGTATGCTTGTTACGAACAAGTCAAAGCAGAACTTGCGATTAATCCAAACGAAATCTTTGAATTATATCAAAAGTTTGATATAATAGCATCACAAGATTGGCAGCATGAATTACTTTCTAGGGAGTTGAATAAAATGATCCGTGCAAATGCTGACAGCTTGATAAAATATCTCATTGACCAGCCAAGTCTATTTGATATTGATCTTCGCATGATTAAAGGTTTGATAAAGAACTCAAAGACAGCTGCTTGTGGAAAGTTTTTAGCTTTACTTCTTGGTAGTGGGAATGATCAAAAGGACCACGTTTCAATGAGTCTGCAGTCAATCCCAGCTGCAACAGCATTCGTCAATGAGGCAGAATTTCTTTCATTTAAAGGTAAACTTTCTCCTTCTGATAGAAGTAAACTTGTACCCATTACAGTTCAATTTTACAGACATCATTCAACAGAAGCAGTCGAGGCTGATTTGCCTTTGGCTTCACTTGATTTGACATCAGCCATTGAGCAACCTGAAGAAATACTGAGAGATCAAGTGGCAATTCATGGTGAACAGAATGTCAACTTAGTATCTGGTTCAGGTAGCTCAGAAAAAGCCAGTAACAGCTGTTTAAAACCTAAGATGAATCGGGTTGAAGCAATGAGGAAACAGTTATTTGCAAGTGGGAGCAGTCGCCGATGTAGAATTCCTCTCTCAGGCTATCCAGGGTTAATCAAGAAAAACTTCACTTTGTATACCGGATTGGACATTGTAGCTCATTGTATTTCCCAATCAGGATACCTCAATCAGCTTAATATTGTGAATTTGCTTTCACCTTACTTTGAAAATCCTCTTATTCCATCAAGTGTTTTAGAAGACATTAAAGTCATTGCCTTACAAAAATGCGGCAAACAATGTCGCACAGTCGATGATGATCTACAAGCTGGGTTTTTACCTAATAGAATTGACACTTTTATAGTGGATAAAACATTCTATGATATCAAAGTGTTCAGAGCAGAAATTATGCAGCGGAAAGAGATAGATTTAACATCAGACGAATTTATTCCCTGTCAGATAGTATACTGTGACTCAAGTGAAGAAACTGACAAAACCCATTTCTTTAAGGAATTAAAAATCGACTATGCCTCTGAACCTAGCATTGAGATAAAATCTTGCTGCGGAAGCCACAGAGACAACATTATTCACTGCTATTTGCTGGTCTTTTCAAGAAATGGAACTGTATTAGCATACATACCCCTTCTTCAATTAACAGTTTCTGAAATATTGGACCTTGTGAATGATGACAACTTTCGCAGCGCAAAAGTGGTTGTAATTTTCTCCAAAATATCTCCTGAACTTTTAGACGATTTTGACAATGTGCTTGTGAAGTGTCTACAACAGAAGTGTTCAATTGACAAACCTGATGATCTTCCATCAGATTCAATTACACCAGGAGATACTCTAGCCCCACAGCCAGTAGTAATAAATCATAAAAGGGATGACATGAGTGACGATCTGAGAAAGAGTAATAATACACGTAGAAAACGAGTACTAAAACAGCATGTCAATTCTGACTCAATCAAGGATTATCCCCTTTATTCTAAACTAGAATTTATCATTATGAATATTTGCAGAAACACTCAGCCTGCTAGATTATTTGACACACTGTTACCACTTATTTTGCCATATTTCAAAGATCCTTTGGTAGCTGTATCCTTACTTGAAGATTTAAGGGCCATAATTTTGTCCAAAAGCATCATTCCCAGAATAAAAAGAAAAGAATTGAAATTGAAGGAAACTGTCATTGTAATTGATATTCCTGGACGGTTTGAAACATTATCAGTAACAAAAACATTCAATGACATGGCCTTGTTCCGGGAGGAACTGACTCAAAATAAGAGGATTTGCTTGCACCTTGATCAAGCCATTTGCTGTCCAATCTGTCCTAAACGAAGTGACGAGGAACTGTCTCACATGATTGATGGATTTAATATTGATCTAAGTTTGGAATCCGGAATTGATTTTGTATCAGAGAATGAAATCCATAAAGATTATATTATTCATTGCTACATGATTGGATCTGCAGAGGGTGGGACTGTTCTTTCTTATGTGTCCATGTTACAGCTGAAAATCCCTGAAATCCTAAAGGCATCGAAAAAACTCTCATCTGTGCAAATTGTTGTGATATACTCAAAAGGACTCACTGTTAAATCTGCAGAATTAGACAAAGTTCTTGTGCAAAGTATTTACAGGATAATTAACTAGGTATTCTGTTTTTACATTAAAAGCATAGTAAGAGTAGAGGGTTTTAATTTAATGCATCATTTTACGATAAAGTTTTATCCTAGCTTTATTTTTTGATCTTAGATATTTGCAGGACTGATTAGTTCTCTGGGATGTTAATCTATGGGAGACTTAGATTTACAACTTGTTATATATAATATAGAGGGTTTTAAGAAGTGAGTGATTTTTGTTCAACATTAAAAAGCTTTTGATGATTTTTGTTATGTAAGTTGATAATTATGTTGTTATGAATGAATTTTTGTAGGATTAATTTAAGCTTTATGCCATCCTCGTAACATTGTCTCGTTCAGTCTGTTTAACAGATTAAACCTTTTATTTTTTTCTTTCCATTTTGATAAAACATTTTCATTCTTCAATCTTTAATTTCAATTCAAAATTTGTAAAGAATTTTGTTATGTATTTTTCAATTTCTTCATATAATGATAGTTTAAATGTTGACAGGAAACGTAGCGCCATAGTTCAACAAATAGAAATAAGTTTCGTCACGCTGTGCAATAATTCTGTGATTAAAATGTGATCTTATTTTTTGCTACAATTAACAAGATTTAATGAATGAACAATCATTACAAAATACAATATTTGCTAAATTAATTAATACCAGGTAGGTGAAACACTTCATGGGCCTATAGCATTCCAGGGTTAACAGCAAAGTTTTCAAATGAGTAAGTATAATTTTTGTAAATCTGGGAAATAATTTAAAGTTTTTTTTTGCTATCAAAATAGCGCTTTACGTAAATGTTTTTCCAGCAGTTTAAAGTTGCATAAAACTAGTAAACTTAAACAAAATGGGATGATGATAAGTAGATAATATATATGCCGTTGTTCAGAGCTCGTAACATTCCTAACACTTCAGTGACATCGATGATGAGCGAAGATTCCAGATCTTCTTCTTTCAGTAGATGCTCTACACCGAGCAACAGCAACAGGTATGAACATTTCAACTACTATTGAGATTGACATTTAAAGTATTGCTTAGTTCCTGCATCAGAGTTATTGCTTTAGAAATAAGTGGTAGTTTAGAATATATTTTGTTCAGTTCGAAGAGCTTGGCTGTGGAATGTATTATATTTATATGATTATACATAATTGCAATACTGCACCATTATTTTACATGTCTCTGTTATAAACAATGTTATAATAATAATAATAATATTTTTTTTAGTTTAATTTTCACTGGGTGAAAAGTTTTTTTAGTTTAATTTTCACTAGTTTAATTTTCACTGGGTACTCTAATAAACACTTTTTACCTGGTCCTCTTATTTTTCTTCCCTTGCTATGCAAGCCCTGTCTCTTGTTTATACAATTTTTAACTCGTATATTGGGTAGATTGAGTATTTATTATGGATTTTATATTGTTGTTAGCCCTGCTGATTTGTGTATTAGTAATGATTACCTATCTGATGGACTACGGTATATATACAGTTGATGGTAGTTTTCTCTTATTTTTCTTCTCTTGCTCTGCAAGCCCTGATTCTTGTATAAACATATTGTTTGATATAATATTGTATATTTTTGTATTGATTGTGGTATTTTGTGTGCCAGATTCAGCAATGGGTTCTTGCTGAATCACTGTATATTACACTCTGTGACTAGTCCCTTTGATCCATCTCTTGCCCTGCAAGCCCTGTTTCTTGTCTATACAGCATATAATTATCATGTATCACATTGTAGTATGTAATAAACATTTGTAGTAGTGTAGGATTGTTTGAATTTCTTTTTGCTATGTTTTATAATATTTATTTGTATAATTTGTGAGTGTTTCTCCCGCTTTTCTTCCCTTGCGCAGCAAGCCCTGTCTCTTGTAAAAACAACCTTGAAAGTTTTGTAGATACATATAGTTTCTACACCTTTATCCTCTGGTCCCTAGGGTCAGCTGATCCCGGGCCAGAGGAAAACTACCGACTGCCAAGGTCTGACGCCTAGGCAGTCGAGACCTCTTATTGAGACCCTTTATAATAATATTACCGATTGCCAAGGTTTGATGCCTAGGCAGTCGAGACCTCTTATTGAGACCCGATATAATAATAAAATTTGGTAAACTCTAAGCCCAGTGGATAAACCACAAAACGTATGCTCTATTGTGTGAAACAAAGATACTAGATCAAGATAACTATCAAGGAGTGCATGCATAGGACATAATCATGATCATGAAGATAATCTATGATATCATTATCAACATAAACCATCTCAGTTCACACCACTTATCGGACCTCTCTATCCTGGCTAATAAACAATTCCACCCCAGTTCCCACCACTTATCGGACCTCTCTATCCTGGCTAATAAACAATTACACCCCAGTTCCCACCACTTATCGGACCTCTCTATCCTGCCTAATAAACAATTCCACCCCAGTTCCCACCACTTATCGGACCTCTCTATCCTGGCTAATAAACAATTCCACCCCAGTTCCCACCACTTATCGGACCTCTCTATCCTGGCTAATAAACAATTCCACCCCAGTTCCCACCACTTATCGGACCTCTCTATCCTGGCTAATAAACAATTCCACCCTAGTTCACACCACTTATCGGACCTCTCTATCCTGGCTAATAAACAATTCCACCCCAGTTCACACCACTTATCGGACCTCTCTATCCTGGCTAATAAACAATTCCACCCCAGTTCCCACCACTTATCGGACCTCTCTATCCTGGCTAATAAACAATTCCACCCCAGTTCACACCACTTATCGGACCTCTATATCCTGCCTAGTAAACAATTCCACCCAGTTCCCACCACTTATCGGACCTCTCTATCCTGGCTAATAAACAATTCCACCCCAGTTCACACCACTTATCGGACCTCTCTATCATGGCTAATAAACAATTCCATTCCAGTTCCCACCACTTATCGGACCTCTCTATCCTGGCTAATAAACAATTCCACCCCAGTTCACACCACTTATCGGACCTCTCTATCCTGCCTAATAAACAATTACACCCCAGTTCCCACCACTTATCGAGTTATCGGACCTCTCTATCCTGGCTAATAAACAATTCCACCCCAGTTCCCACCACTTATCGGACCTCTCTATCCTGGCTAATAAACAATTCCACCCCAGTTCCCACCACTTATCGGACCTCTCTATCCTGGCTAATAAACAATTCCACCCCAGTTCCCACCACTTATCGGACCTCTCTATCCTGCCTAATAAACAATTCCACCCCAGTTCACACCACTTATCGGACCTCTCTATCATGGCTAATAAACAATTCCATTCCAGTTCCCACCACTTATCGGACCTCTCTATCCTGGCTAACGCAGCGGCCAGCTCGGAGGAGAGCAACAGTCCTCGCACCACTCCTCCTGTTAAAAGTGGTATTTCTACCCAACCTTGTCAGTGGAATGGAATCTCTTACTCTCAGTGTATCGAACGGTTAGATATTATACCTCTCATTTCATTGTGAAACCACACTATTTACTTTTCAGAGATTTGAGATATAATTGTCTAATTCTCCTCGAACGTTAGGCGGTGTATTGAATATAGGCCTGTAACTAGTCTCGTGTAACCTTTAATTGGGTCCCTGGATGTTGTGTAACATATCGCGACATCTGCTGCATATGAAAAATAATATCCTGAATTTAACATAATTACTTTCCAGGCCTCTCTCTAGATCGGAGAAATCTCTTGGTTTACTCACTTCTAAGTTTGTGGAGTTACTGAAGAACAGTCCTGAAGGAATACTTGATTTGAACGTGGTACGGAAATGTTGTTAATTGTTACTTTTTACTACAATACAAGGTTATACTGTACACATTTGTACCGTATTTTTAGAAGTCGACTATTAAAAATCCGCGTATGTACAGTACAGTGTATAATATATGTACATATTTTTGTCACATATTATGTGGCTAGCTAGTTATTCTATTACACAGAGAAAAGTGTGCTAAAACAAGTGATTTGCTGAAATGGCGGGTTGATATTGTGTACTAAAGTTGGATGGCATCACCCCAAGTGTAGAATTACACACAAACAGTACGCCAGCTAACAGAACGGTGGGCGTGTGTGTGTGTGAGCTGAAATCTCATTACACATCGCATTATTGCAGGCGGCAGTAAAGTTAATGGTCAGACAAAAGAGGAGGATTTACGACATAACCAACGTTCTGGAGGGTATCGGCCTTATTCAGAAGAAGAGTAAAAACTCAATACAATGGATGTGAGTAGAAAATACCCTAAATAGGAGGACACATTGTGTGTCTCATTCTAAAGTCTAGCTTCTACTCTGCTGTAACAGAGGCGCTACCTAACAAGGCGCTACCTAACAAGGCGCTACCTAACAAGGCGCTACCTTACAAGGCGCTACCTAACAAGGCGCTACCTTACAAGGCGCTACCTAACAAGGCGCTACCTAACAAGGCGCTACCTAACAAGGCGCTACCTAACAAGGCGCTACCTAACAAGGCGCTACCTAACAAGGCGCTACCTAACAAGGCGCTACCTAACAAGGCGCTACCTAACAAGGCGCTACCTAACAAGGCGCTACCTAACAAGGCGCTACCTTACAAGGCGCTACCTAACAAGGCGCTACCTAACAAGGCGCTACCTAACAAGGCGCTACCTAACAAGGCGCTACCTAACAAGGCGCTACCTAACAAGGCGCTACCTAACAAGGCGCTACCTAACAAGGCGCTACCTAACAAGGCGCTACCTAACAAGGCGCTACCTAACAAGGCGCTACCTAACAAGGCGCTACCTAACAAGGCGCTACCTAACAAGGCGCTACCTAACAAGGCGCTACCTAACAAAGCGCTACCTAACAAGGCGCTACCTAACAAGGCGCTACCTAACAAGGCGCTACCTAACAAGGCGCTACCTAACAAGGCGCTACCTAACAAGGCGCTACCTAACTAGGCGCTACCTTACAAGGCGCTACCTAACAAGGCGCTACCTAACAAGGCGCTACCTAACAAGGCGCTACCTAACAAGGCGCTACCTAACGAGGCGCTACCTAACGAGACGCTACCTAACAAGGCGCTACCTAACTAGGCGCTACCTAACTAGGCGCTACCTAACTAGGCGCTACCTAACTAGGCGCTACCTAACAATGCGCTACAGCTGCTATTATTTATAACGTAGCGGTTTTCTTTATTATTATACATCATTTCACCGGATAAACCGCCCTTATACTTACTATATTACTCAACATATTAGTGCTAATCTGATGTGAACATCTGCCAACTACTAACAATTGAATATGTGGCAATCGTGCAGGGTTGAGAGCTATAGTTTATATAAAGAGCTACCGTACACTGTAGATATAATGTAGACATTGTAGTCTATTATCAAACACACTAGTCCTTTATTTCTATCCCGTTTGAACCACGAAATATTTACAATTCCAGTAATAATCCCGTTACATGCTTACAAACGTGTACACACAATATTGTGACCATAACTTGTTCGTGGTACAGAATTAGCGACTCTGAATTAGTGGCATAATCACTGTGTCGAAATGTGACATTTGCTTCAAACTCTCCTAAAAGCCCGGTCACTTATATGTTTAGAAGTCAGTGGACGCTTCATAGTCATATTTAAAGAGACGCTAGATATTTTTGATGGGCAATTAGCAGTTTATATGACCGCAGTCATTACTACCTTACTGTATACTCTACTGTATACTCTACAGTAGTACAGCTATAGCCTATAATATACTGTATAATCTGACGGCTGACGTGCTCTTAAATTATCTGTTATCTATTCAAGTGGGAGGTAAAGTTAAAATTACAAGTCTAGATCAGTGACAAGTTGTACAGTGTTGTAGTTGTATAGTGTTGTAGTTGTACAGTGTTGTAGTTGTACAGTGTTGTAGTTGTACAGTGTTGTAGTTGTATAGTGTTGTAGTTGTACAGTGTTGTAGTTGTATAGTGTTGTAGTTGTACAGTGTTGTAGTTGTACAGTGTTGTAGTTGTACAGTGTTGTAGTTGTACAGTGTTGTAGTTGTACAGTGTTGTAGTTGTACAGTGTTGTAGTTGTACAGTGTTGTAGCTGTACAGTGTTGTAGTTGTACAATGTTGTAGTTGTACAGTGTTGTAGTTGTACAGTGTTGTAGTTGTACAGTGTTGTAATTGTACAGTGTTGTAGTAAATAACTTAGTATTAGTCTATTCGCCTGTATAACGACTGCTAATAATATGTACACATGGCACTACACACACACATACACATCTACATAGCGCACTTTGTCACACGCCCAACTCTACCCTGGATTATTACCCGTATATTACAGTCTCTATATATTGTGTGCACTTAATAATTAGCCAATAACTTTCACTTATATAACATAATATAAAATATATAATAACCTATATACATTATACAGGGTATACAGAGCTTTATCATTCCTTGGCACGCTGTTTCTTTTAAACACTACAGTGTGAGCGCGACATATTGGAGCTATAATTCTTTACAACTGTTAACATATTTTATTAACTCAATATGTATGGGGAACCTCTAGTTACAGTTTCAGTGCAAAATTGGTTTTGTTCTAGAAGAAAACGTGATCGCGTGGTCAGTTTATTCTAGAACAAAACCAATTTTGCAGAATTACAGACAGTACCTTTAAAAGTAAAGAAAGTTCAACAATCCATCCCGTCATCCCGCGTGCTGTACACGTAAACTAGAACAGTTTATCTAACACTTCTTCTCACAGAGGAGGGGGATCTAGTCTGACAAACACACAGGCAGATGCAAAGTCAGACGAGATAAGATCAGAGTTGGAGACTCTTAATGAAGTAGAGGCTCAGATAGACGAACTGTTGGAGGTGCTGGACCAGGTAGATATACTGGGGGGGGGGGGGGAAACAACTTTATACTGGCCACAATTAATAGGAATATACATGTGAGCTGACTCTGAGGTTGTAGTCTGCATTTTCTACACACTGCAATGTGTACTATCCTATATTATCCTATATAAATCCTCTACTATCCTATAATGTATTAAATGTGGCAAACATCCTTTAAGTAACACATTGTCATAAATTCCATATTTACAGGCTCTCCATCGTAACAAACTATGTCGTTTATAATATCCATATTGACTGATGATCAAGTTTAAACGTAAGATTACTTAGTAGTATGTATATATATAATATATATATTTCTGTAAGATTACTAAAGCTTGACCCCACTTCAGAGTAAAGCGGGAGTGATGAACAACAAACTGGAACTGTATGTTCCCTACTCTGATATTGGTAAAACTGGAGTAGCTGATAACAACAAGATACTAGCAATACATCATCCTGTTAACACTAACATGGCAAAGTCAGAGTTCGTGGTAAGTAACAACAAGATATTAGTAATAAACCACCCTTCTACCCGATCTATGGTTTTTTCTTACATCAGTAGAGCCGTTAAATCGTACAATTATTAAACAGATTTCACCCCTGCATAAATTTAACCTGTAATTGGGTGTTTCACACTTCACTACTGCAATAATAAAATAGTGTTAAGATAATATTCTTAAATTGTCGGTCTCACGGTATGTTATGTGGAAAGATTTGTAGAAGAGAAATGTGACGAGTTAGAATTAGAGATGACCTAAGTTTCATTACTTTGTGGACTTTCATTCAGTGGTTAGAGCCACCAGGTTCAACCTGTGTAAGAATTTAGAATTGGTTTCTCTGTTTGATACTTTAGAGCTCTAGAACTCTGAATAATATGTTGTACTATTACTAAAGGTAATGTTGATCGTAGAATCGATTAAAAGTGGTCCGGTAATGATTGGATTGATGTGTATTTTTATTGGCTGATCTTATTGAGAATCTAACAAAACCGCCTATTCTAAATCGGTGCAGTTTCTAATAAGATACTTAGGTTAGACTTTAAACCCTCACCAGTCATTACACTACTAGTTAAAAAGTTACGTTTTTAGGAGAAAGTTGACAGTCTGTACATCCTGCTTTATCCAGATTTTGTCCGAGACTTTTAAGATACATTGTTAATTTAGGTATTGACCTATGATATCACAGAGAAGAGAAATGGGAGGTAAAAAATAATCAAATACTGTTATCTTCTCATGTCTATCACAAACTGCAGCCTAGTTAAAATGGGGACCTTGTGTTGTACAACTATGGGATGTGGTTTGTCAAGATACAAGGTAAGTATTGACACAATGACACCATTGTCCAGATACGTATCTTGATACTTGTTCTGTATCTGCTTAAACCATTTGCACGTGCAATGTTACTTCGGGGGAAGTGTGCTAAATACCAATTTATTAATTGCAGGGAGCTGTATTAGGTGGATTTTATGGAATGTAGGGCCGTGTTTTGTAATGGAGGATACTACTAGAACCCTCTTTTAGCCATGATTGAGAATAATGCATTACAAGCTTGATACACTGCACAGTACTAATTAACACAAGGTGCCAGATTACAGTACAAATCTACATACCGTGTAAATCTAGGTGTGAACCACAGTGGAAGCTTGAACCACGGTGGAAGCTTGTACCACGTGTAGCGTATTGTGTACTTGCTAGATCTCCCAAACTCCCTGAAGTCATTACCGTTAATGCGTCTCCTGCACGTGCAAGCTGTAAGTTTCACGTGTAACTTGTCCCAGTGTAACTGATGTTACACTCTCTCCAGCTATATCCGCGTTATTAAAGTCCTCTAACGGATCCTATCCCGCACTATAACAGGGCTGCTAAAAGTGGGGACAGACGTGTGCCCTGGTTACCCTGGTTACCCTGGTTACCCTGGTTGTGCCAGAACTGCCAGTATTTTGGTACGTTGTGAACTGTATTGTGGCACTTTGTGAAGGTGTTGAGTGAGATACGGGGTTGTTCCCGGGTTTGTTGACATGGGAACCAAAGGTGCTATTAGAGGTGATAGAGGAGGTGATATATCAGTAGATACACAGTAGTAGAGTTTATTACTCTGTGTTTAATACAGGGGGACTAGATATTGAGCTGCAATGTGTCTGTAAATGCTGATATCAGTTACTCGTGCTGTTATTGGATACCATGGTACTATACATTAGTACATTGTTGTATACATTAGTACATTGTACTGATTAAAGGAGTACTCAGCGTGCAATAGTGGATGAAATCATACCCAACCCGACGTTTGGCTTCCTAGAACTGTATTTCAACGTATATAATGCAGGTCACGTGACCCGACAACTGTCATCTTATCGCCAGTTAGCTTCCTGGAAGTGGTGCATTACTTTCGCTTCCTGGTGTGTTCACAGTTCTAATGTAAGGAGTAAGGTTATGAAACTCCCTTACTGAAGTTACAGAGGTTATATAAAGTGTGGTACAATGCTGGCACAGTTCCAAGGTTCTCTTTCGCGGGCTCATCTTGACAATATAATTAGAAGTCTGTGCCACCTTACAAACAGTACAAACAGTACAAGTGTATTTAAAACGGCGCTGTGCAGGCCCTCAATCCCGGCATCTTACTGGACACGTCAAGGAAGCCGATGACCGATCTAACCACGAGCTGCACTGTAAGCTGCACTATAAGCTGCACTGTAAGCTGCACTGTAAGCTGCACTGTAAGCTGCACTGAGTAGCTGTAGAGTGTAGCTGTAGAGTGTAGCCGCACAGTGTGGCGGTCTGGCCTTGTTGGTGCCGTGTTATCCAGTTATACCATTATCTAGCTCTAGGAAGTGAGGGGTCCCCTTAAAAACTTCATATTGTTATACTCTAGTATGGGACTGTGTGTAAGCCGTTACACAGAGAGTGTGTGTGTGTATCCCGGAGCGGGGGATATTATACTCTCAGGTCTAGTGTGGAACTGGAACTCTCTGTTTTATATCCCTGATATAAAGCTCTTACAGCTAACAAACCTCCTGTTATTCAGTTGTCATAATACGTAAATACTAAATACAAGAGATATTGCTTATTTACCGTTATGCTATGTAGAGTGTAAAATACGATTGTTAAAATATCTTAGGCTGATTAACACTGAAGACTAGACAGCTGACTTTTCATGATCAGAATATTATCGTAATTGAACATTTTAATCAATTATTCTGAATGCAATAAGTAATATTCCCTCAATTAGCACTTGATGAGTAGTGATAATGTGGAATGTACAGAAATTTAATCCCGATATAATTTTGACATACCCAAATTTAAAGGTTTTAACTTAAATTTTATGCACTCAAGAATTTATTGTGATCCAATCTACTGTTTCATATCTTGATCTATAAAGATCATCTGTGGTCACGTATCTCAGTTCTCAAAGTATGGTTTGATCTGATCTAATGTGCAAAAGTAGATGATATCAGTTGGCGTGTGTGTGCTGTGTACAATTGCCCGTGCTACACTTTAATACACTATACAAGTTATTTCCTGCTACGCTTTCTATAACCTACATCTGTTATCACGTGGTGTGATATATCACATTTAATTGAACAGTCAACTTGTAAAGCTATTAATATCATGCTGGTTAGCGTTAAGCAAAGATTCTGTCCGTTCGGACCAATAATTTAGGTTATAGACGTATGTAGATTCTAGTGTCTGCAATGTCTACATTATTTTGAATTCTTACAAAGCTCTTGAAATCATGTTGATATGGTTTTATTCTCTTACTCACAATACTTACAATTAAATTTTTCAGCGAGACGGTGCTAATTACTGGCACTACCATATGGACAGGTAACCTTTTAAAACCTTTCTTTTGCCAATGTATAATTTATTAGCAAATTCTTTAGCATCCTATCTTATAAGTTGATAATTTTAATATAAGCGGTAGGTGGATACTCGAGCAGCGTTGTACAATGTTATAACGTTTATAATATAGTATGAATATTGAATATTCATAGAACAGTTGTTTAACAATCCAAGGTTGCTAGCTAAGAGCCATCATTTACACGGCCTTATAACATCAGAACATAATAATACTGCAATACTGTAACACTACTTCATTTTTACACTCTACACTCCCGCATATTTTCGTACAGCCAGTATTCTTGGTAACGAAATGCTTCCTTATCTGTGGTATTATGGCATTTACTACCGCCATTAGGGATAAAATTAACAATAAACGAATTTCTGATTGTTTTTACTCTGTCCTTACATATTCTCCAACCACGTCCGCACCATGGTGCATTGTTAAATATTGTAGTCCAAATATTGACCATACTACCAAACTTCTAATAAATATTACTGATAGCCAAGTTTGATCTGGTTCAATTTAAATGGGCATTAGCTAGCTACCTTTAGTTTTCTAAACGATATGATTGTTTCAGTACGACCCCAATAGACGTGTGGGTATTGAATCAGACAGGAATTCCTCACCAACTGAACACCAAGACCCGGTCACCAAGCCAACAACCTCCACCTCCTCTACCTTTCCCTTGCACAGAACCCAAACCTCAGCCTCTTGTTAACGGCACTTCGGACAAACCAGCCGCCAGCTTATCAGACTCTATCAGATCGAGTATTAAACACGGCAATATTAATTATCAGCCTACCCGGACAAACACATTCCTCAATAAAACTAAGTCTAAAGAAGCCAAGTCCCGGGCCACTCCTGTTACTGCTAATCATAACTTGTTGGATGTGCGGAACACTGCGCCGGTGACGACCAGCCCTGTGACACGTGGTCGCTCCGCACTCCGGAAAAACAAAACTTACATCCCATCCTCGCCAGTGTCTCACACTAGTTTTGTGTTTCAAGATCTAGATCCTAACATTATAAACGGACACAAACCCTCGGCTCGCTTATCTCCGCGGAGGTTTTATAACGAGTATCCCAATGAGAACAGGGTGCCAGTGCCGCCCATGCCCAAGCTCCAGCTGCCACCTCAGCCACCTTACGATAAAATCTGTGGCGGTGATAACGATCAGGTTTGTCTATATTATTACCTTGTGTGAAGAGTCTTTAAAAGTTATATGGAGGTAATGCAGATTATCTCATAATCAGTTTATCAATACAATAAGGGACTTGTTATGAAGAGTATCGAATTTTAAAATAAAATTCGTTAGCTATACCAAATTGGAAGAAGTGCGAATATAAAACAATATGCTAAGCTTGGAGACTTAAACTTGATTAAGTTAAGGAATTTAGCACATTTTTCAAGTTACACATACCTGGAAAATTTGAATGTTTGAAAATGAACCCATCTAAAATTAAAATAACACGTTTGTATTATTAAAATATTTCGAACCATTACGTAACTATTGTATTTTTCTATCAAAAATCTAAACTTATGTATTTTTAAATATTCTTTTTAATTAGCCAAATATGTAACATTTGAAGATTTACTGTTATGTAATTTAATCATTTAAAAAATGTCACTTACCTCGACATATTCAATCAGACTATTAAAGAAGAGGTTAGGAAACGAAAGCGATCAGACGTTGATACAGTGCAGATGGAGATATCAAAAGATGTAATTCTTGATAGTAATCGAATTAAACCTTACGGTAAGATATCGCTTTACTTATGTTCGTTGGCAGGATATCGTGTAGAATTAGGTCCGATCAGACCCCTGTCGGATACTGCAGCCTTATTCCACTTACTGGCTAGTAGCCGTACTTGTTATTAATCACTGTTTAACATGGAAATCTTATTTATTAGTCGCAGGCTCCCTTGGCTCGTTAAATCGGTGTACTGAGTTACAATTTTAATTTTGCGCGCGTAAAATGCGCGCGCTTTTCGTTGACGAAACTCCGCCGAAACTGGTGCAATGATACTTGCGATCATGGTCAACATCATGATGCAGTTGTTCATTCAATCTTTAACATGGACTCCTTTAGATTAAGATATCATTTTTGGATGGTAGTGTGCAACTAGCTTGGTTACCCGTTTTGTGTTGTCTAGTAGTCTAGAAATTATGTTTTGAATATCGCGCGCTAAATCACAGTCATGTAACGCGCGAAGACATTTCAACGGCCCGTAATCATCTACTGTCAGTCAGCCGAAAGCATTTTTTGAATTTTTTCCGATATGGGTTTAAAACGCCGTGTACACTGCGCTGCATCACGAAACGACATGCTCAGGCGATTGTCCGAACATCAGTGAAACACACACTACCTGATTGAGAAGTCCATCTTTTAAACAATAGTATTGCTAATGATGTTGTGGGTGGTGTCACATATTTACTGTTCTGGCGCTCTTCCAGTAACCTTGGAGGCTGGCACAAATTCCCCGTGAGGCTACACAGGGCGCTTTTAATTGGTTCATTACACTCTCCCCTTTCAGAACCGATTCCGTATTGCGGCGACGTTCGGAAAGAACACACTGGTAAGTACACACGTTTTTAACCGCTAATTAGATGTGTATTGAATGTATGTAGTGCTGTGCACTACTGTGTATTGTGTTACACAAAACATATTCTGTTGACTTGTAGGTAATATGCGAATGGAATTTGTCATTTTCCACGCTGTCCACTTGTTGAAAAAGCTACTACCTTACTCGGGAATATTATAGCGGGTTAATTTATGACTGGGAAAATAAATGACCGGGAAAAATATGGTGGAATTTTCCAAAACCCACCAAGCATCAAAATGTATTACTATTAGTTTACCTTACTCAGGAACATTATAGCGGGTTAATTTATGACTGGGAAAATTAATGACCGGGAAAAATATGGCGGAATTTTCCAAAACCCACCACTTTATCCCAGTCATAATATTCCCGAGTAAGGTAGTTGCTACCAGACTGTTCTAACTCTAAAATTCTCTCAGATTTACGAGCCCTATTTCCCATATCTCCTACCCCAATGGACCATGACTACTATTTCTCTATGGACCACGAGGAAGGACTTTTGGACCTCTTCGACATATCGACAACTGAGTTGTTCTAATGCTTAGTTTTCTAATATATTATAGTAATTCAAACAGCAATTTTATGTTAGAAGCCTTAATCTTCGGCGTTTCGTAAGACGTAGCAACTGGCGTAATCGTGTGACCCCAGCTCACACAATGAATCCGAAATCGCGAATTTCAACAAACACGGATTGAAGGATAAAAATATTTTTATTTGGAGTAGCCACACTTAATCGGTAACTGCAATAAAACAATGATAGAACGACATCATTCTTAACAAAACAATCAATTTGATTTTAAAAATCGGTTATTTTTACAGTATAATCAAACAATAGCAATAACAATCAGCAATTGAATATAATATCCAATTAATTATGCAGCAATTGCAGATTATATGAGTCTTAATTAAAAATATTGGAATCAGCTAATGTTGTGGTGACAAGTGTCGGTTACTTATTGGGAGATTTGAGAGCGACCTGAGCTTGGCACCAATCCAACCCTCCACTACGTCCGTAATGACTATTTACCTGAACTATTATTCAAATAAATATTTCGATAGAAGTTTATCTGAAGATTATATGCGTTGTACATTTTTGCCAGGGGCTGCGTCCAAATTCGAAACAAGGCTGGGCTTTTTAGTGAGTATGGTATGGTACTATGTATTTGATGTTAAATATATATTTATTTCTTGTCTAAGTTTTTAGGATTTTAAGTCAATCAAAAGTTGATTTTTATTGATATTCCTTCGTGTTTTTTACATAGTTTACATCTGATGTAATATGAGGCTATTTTGTTTGTACGTTAACAAATCTAAGTTATCCAGTCTAGGAAGACAGAAATTCTGATATAAATATGTTTCCTGGATTTTGAATTTTGCAGTGAGTTTCAGTTAACAGGGAAATTAAATATCAGTTTATCATTTAAGTCTATACTTTCTGCTATTTTTTGTTCATGATGGAAAGTAATGAAAATTGTTAGTCCGACGTATATATTGATTTAACATGTTTTCCAGATAATGTATCACATTTTCTGAGAAAATTCCCTCAAATTTGACTGTTAATTATTTGCGAAGTACCTAGTACTGATATTTTTCAAGCTTTATTTTGATTTCCAACTATAGGGATATTCATAGTATATTGGGCAATTGGGATTCAGTGTTAATAGCAGAATTTCAACACGATATTTTGACTAAGATTGAAATTCGACCCAAATATGGATCCGATTCACGAAAACAATCAAATCGTTTTTAACTTTTCTATAGTTTAGTTAATTTGGTATCGCTGGTACTGTAAAAACAAAAAGGTTACCTTTTTGAATGAAAAAGGCCCCGTCAGAAACATCGTCAACAACGATCTTTCAGATCGTCAGTATTCTTTTTTGTGACTACCAGATTTAGCTTAGTGATAATATGAAGTAGCTGATTATACTTGGTTTTATGGCAACTTCTTCATTTACATATTAGTGGGAAAAACAATTACTAATACCATTTCTTGCGGTATTGATTTTATATAATACATTTGCTCTCCAATTGCAGGGTAGGACAATCTTTTGACCTAATCGTGTGTTAACATGCTCATTTTTAATGAAATATGAGACTTGCAGTCCTACATGCCAATACATTCAATGCTAATGAGGATTTAGAATGGAGTAATCAGCTTAATTGATAATGTTTTATTGAGGAATTGAGTTGATAAGGTGCTATGTGTAATGTCGTAAATTGTTATTTTCACTATATCATTCAACTAATAAGAATTTCAGATACCAGCATTGGAATATAAATTGTTTTATTTCTCAATTTCTCTCAGTTCAGTAAAGAATTTCTTACCCTCCAGAAAATTCAATTTTACTTAAATCATACAGCCATGTAATGCTGGCTTATCTGATAAGAAGTTACATGACATTTAACAATCATGAGTAGAGTAATATTTACCAAATACAATCACTTCTCACTTTGTCTGTCCTGCGGCCGTTCAAATTTTATATGTCCAATTTATGTTCATTCAACATAAAAGTATAAAAGTAGTTTTCTTAAGGATCGCTACCGTCACCTGTGTGGCAGTATATATCATATCAGTCTCCATCAACCTGCCTGGAAGCTAAGGGTGGATTCCTACAAGGGGTACGAACTGTCAATACCTTTCTGGGGCAACCTGGTTACCGATTAAAGTGATCTAGGATTTACCTTGAACTTCGCCAAACTAAAGATTTGTAGTGATTTTTGGGGAATTTTATCCAAATGATATTTTGACACAAATATTTATAATCTACAATGTATTAATAGTGGGATAAGTTTCTGGCAACTGTAAGTACGTTAAATTTAAGCTTATGTTGGAAATGTATTATAACTTAACAAGTAATATGAACCGCAGTAATGATTCGAAATTTTAGCAAAGGTTATGCAGAGTCAGGCATAAAATGAATGCCCAAATATACAATATTGAATATAGATATGCAAAAATTATCCTATTCTTGTAAACATTTAGAAACTACGTGATTCATATTATTTATTAGATAAGTGTATAGTGTTCTAGTATATAATTCAATGTTTTAGTGTACATAGAATATACGTATTAGTCATATGTAATATTATGCCACATTAGGACTACTCAGACTAGTGTAGAAGCTTCTAGAACTTCTGGAAATAGACCTCTAAGGGTATATTAATTCGTTCTCTCTCATAAGAGAGCAGCAGCTGTGATGTTGTTCAAATCTTACGCTCTAAGTCACATATGACATTTCTTCATGGCATTAACCTTACATGTTTGCAGCCGTGGTTCATCAATTTTCGCTGTGTTTGATCTATACTTTAATCTTAGGAGTTAAGCTGCTCGATTTTTGCGCAGATTCGGTTTGCTTGCATGTGTATTTTAATAATATAATTGGAACCGCGCAAGCGAACCAAACCTGCACTTAAATTTAACAGAGTAACAACTGATTTATGTTGTACAGTGTGGCGCTTTTTTGTGCCCTAACTCACTAAGAATGGCACTTGGCAGTTCGACAACAATCATTTATCAATTGTATTATTAATCAATTGTATTATTATCTAAACATAAGCCAGACTTAAATTTTAATATGCATTAATATGCAATCGAACAATTATTCTATATTCCTAGTGAACATCAAGAGATGACGTCCATATTAGACTCATATTATACCGAATTAGTTATTATTAGTGTAGAATCTTCTAGAATTTCTTGAATTCTACAGATCAATAGATCTCGGTGGCTATATCAATTCATTCCCTTAGATACAGAGCAGCAGCTGTGTTGGTTGTAAATCTCTTGTTGTGAATCTCTTGTTGTGAATCTCTTGCTCTCTCCTATAACATTTCTTCATAGTAAAATGTTTTTTGTCTCATATTATACCAAAAGGGAATCTTCTACAATTTCTAGAATCTAGAACATAGGAGTCTTCAGGTGTAGACCTCTGGTGGTAAATTAATTAATTTTCTGCATTACAAGAGAGCAGCGGTTGTGTTGGTAGCAAATCTCTAAGTCTCATAGTCATATAACATTTCATCATAGGGGTCGTTCGATCACATATTACGTAATACTTTTTTGGAACATTTTTACCCCCCCCCCCCCTCCGTAATCAGTTTACACATAGCTATTGTGTTAAATTTACACTAGCGTAATCATTCGGAACCCCCCCCCTCAGCTGATTACGTAATATGTGAACGACCCCATAGCATTGCCATTAACGTAATAATATTAATATGTTTGCAGTGGTGGATCATGAAGGTTCCGTCCTGTCGCAGTGTTTGACTATTATATACTTTAGACTTAGTCTCAGGAGTAACATGAATTGAATTGTGTTGCAGTTGCACAGAGTGGCACTTCGCTGTGCTCTTAGCTCTAAGTCACGTCTAGTAATTTTTTGTCATACCTTGTAGTTGTATGACCCGCCGCGCACGAGTGCGCGGCTCCCCCTGTATCGTAGAAACTCTACAGGGGTTATATAGTGAAACGACCGTGGGGGTCACGATCACAGTGCTGGCAAGCACGACCGTTGCATTTATTGTGGGTATACTATGTTCCCCATTTACTATTATACCCCCTTTACTATTATACCCCCTTTACTATTATACCCCTTTTACTATTATACCCCCTTTGGTACACGTTACAAGCCTCTTTTGTGCACGCGAAGCGTGCACTCCGGCCGGAGGCGGCGGCCGAAGGCCGCCGCCTCCGGCAGGAGTTTTCCAGGCATTAAGACTCATCGGAAGTCGTTCAGCAGATTTATTTTTAGTTCAAAACATTCTAATTTGATGTCAAAGATGACAGGAATAAAAAATAGTTATGTTCAGATTTTTTAGAAATTTGCATAAAATACTCGCCAGCACTGTTATACGAAATTCGGTTAAAAACCCAAAATCGCCATATTCAGGTGCCCTAAAAACCATGTTAAAATTGAGTTAGAGATCTGAAATTTTTCAGGGCGTCTAGACGTTGACCAAATTGACTGCAAAAAAAGTTTCAGGTTTCAGGAGCATCGGGAAATGGGTTTTCTAGAACTCCTGTTTTACTTGTATCACGCGGTGACCCCCACTGCCGCTTCACTGTAGCGTCTTCGACGCTACAGGGGGAGCCGCGCACTTCGTGCGCGGCGGGTCATACAACGTATGACAATGTTTTACGACAGATTGTCGGGACATATACAGATATACATACAGATATACATATATATTCAGGGATAGACGCTTTGCCAGTCAATTGTAGCCTGTATTTAAGTGTCCATAGATTCAAAAGTATAAAAGATACAGCCATTTCCGACCACAGGTCTTGCAAATAATTGTTTACACTTTAGTTTACATTGTATAAAAAATTTATTTGACGTCATTAACACCCCTTGATGACGTCATCAAGTTAACCGTTTTTAAAACTTGATTTTTGACAAAGTAATAACTTTTAAAATTAATTTTAACCCATTAAGGAGTAATTTTATTCAAAATCTGAGGAAATTTTCATCTTAGATAATTGTTCAAGCATTCTGAAAATCTACCGGAAAGTTTTTCTAGCTTGCTCCTTCATAAAAATATTTGTCATTGAAGTTTGTGCTTTTTTGAAGAATTATTTTATAAAAACGTCAATTTTGCGATTTAGTATTCTTTGGTGTTGGGCCATGCCTTGGGTTGTGGAGCTCAGTTCTGCTTCCTATAGGTATAAATTGTGCATTAGGCTAGTTTTAAAGTTGAAAATCGAAAAGTTGCACACGTGGGGACACGCCCAAATTGATAGAAAATTGCTAAAATCACTGAAAATTGCTGTTTTCGTCATTTTCTGTCAACTTTAGAGTGCCGTTGTGATTACAGTTCTTCTTGAAATACTTTGAAACTTTGCATGCTTATCAAGCTATATATAAAACAATTACATGCAAAAATTTACGGCGATTCAATATTGGATGCGCATGCAACGTCCGCTCAAAGTTTGCACGTGCGAAAGGTGAGAATTTTGCTCATTCGTGATTTCCAACAAATTCTGCTTTGCCACGACAGTTTAATGTCATTATATATGAATTTAATGTCAACTTGAATGAGTATTAAGTGGTATATTCAGTCAGTGATGGACCGATATGCTTACCTAAACACAAGGAAATGTTTTTAAAGGAAAAATTTCGAAATCGTTGAAACTTCCTCCTTATTATAATGAAGATATCAGTTTATATTTCGACTTTATAAAGTACCCTGACATTATAATCAAAAAGAGATGATATTTTACCAAAACCCATAATCATGGGTAGAGTGGACCGCTGCCAGTGTCTCTCTTTCCCAAACAAAAGGAAATGATATTAATTTGATTGACCGTTCTCAAATGCAAAATGATACCGAGAATGAAATCGGTCGCTCGCTTTTCCCATTCATTTACAATTGTAATAGATTAAGAAGAACTACCCAAAGGCAGCTGTACTCGGCAATAAAGATTCAATAAACTTCAGCTAATGCAATAAGTAATAACTACCACCCTTACCCCGAAATACTAGGTATCGACCCGAACGCAACCCAAAGAGATTTTTACAGCATCTGATTGACATGTAATCAATCGAAAATTATTACAATTCGTAAGCCGTGAATAAATGGGAAAAGCGAGCGACCGATTTCATTCTCGGTATCATTTTGCATTTGAGAACGGTCAATCAAATTAATATCATTTCCTTTTGTTTGGGAAAGAGAGACACTGGCAGCGGTCCACTCTACCCATGATTATGGGTTTTGGTAAAATGTGATACAAGTAATTTTGTTCAGTGTAGACTGTAGATCGAGTAAACAACACTTAAACCGTTCTCTCCAAAAAAATATAGACTCTACAAGTACAATAGTTCAACTGAACTAAAGATGGCTCCTCCATCAGTCGGCAGAAATATTAAAGTAAGTTTAATACGGGGTAATTGATAAATGGATATGCACATTATTGCATCCAGTAGCAATATATAATTCTCATAAAATAGATCGTCGAAATTACTTTTACTATTACTAATTCATTCTACAGCGTACTTTATCATGTATCACGTGACTTCGGTTTTTACGGTTTTACAGCCGAAAAGTTTTAAAATCCTTGTATTTTCGAATGATTGATGATTTTTTGATAACCATCGGACAAATTTTATCAATTATATATTAACATGTTCAAATGTTGATCTGGTTGTCTTTTGGCGATTGAAAGTACTCGATAGTTGTGCAGATTTTTGTCCCCTTTCGTCATTTGTCAGCACACAGGTACCACCCACGTCACACGTAACGACAGAAGCGACGACTTATTTTAGAGCAAGTATAGATTTAGAAATGTTATTAAAAATCAAGAGTAGCAAGTAGACTGTAGAAACATTAGTGCAAAACAAGTACAGCTTAATAACTTTTCGTGCCATGTGTCATATCGGGTCAATTTCTCGTTGTGTAATATTTTGTAGTCGAATTGCACAGTTTCCTTCAATAGCAGATTCGTGCGACGTGCACAGTTTCTAGTGATCGTGTCGTGCTCAATTTCGTGCATAGTTCTGCGTTCTGTAATCCATGTCGTGCACAGTTTCGTCATTCGCGCAGCCACGACATGAATTACACTTACAGAAAACGACTATTTAATGATACCCAATTACCAATTACAGGATCCGCTGAAGATCTGCATCACTGGGGCTGCTGGAAGAATAGCTTACTCACTAATTCAGACCCTGTCTAAAGGGGATGTGTTTGGTCATGATCAGGTAAGATTTAGACCTTTAAACCTTTTTATCTGCGAGACAATAAATTTGTTCATATTTTTCATGAAATATTTGTTATATACAACCACAGTATCCTTGGCGTTACTTGTTAATGTTATTGATATCATTTTGGTTGACAGTTGGATTAATTCAGTGTTAAGCAAGATATAGGTTTGGATGTTATTGGGGAGCTAGGTGAATCATGTTCATTTCGACACGTGACAGTGCTTCTGGGTTTTGAATGGTCAACGTGAATGTGATTGGTAAATCACCGTCACGCTTAAAGAAAATACGGTTCACCTCCCAACCGGTATTCAGATCTATTGCTAGAAATACGTTGATTTAACCTAATAAATGAAGAACCGTTGCCTCTATTCAGATGCTGATCTTGCACCTGCTAGACATAGAGAAAAGTAAAGATGCACTCTATGGTATAGCCCTTGAGATCGAGGATCTTGCTAGCCACGTTGTTTTAGGTATATTTCATTTAACAATTAATATAGCTGGCGGCCGGAGTTAATCATTGATGATTCCAAATTTGACGAGAGAAATAACACTTTCAAAATCAAAGATAACACAAAAATATGGCGGCTTTTAAAAATCGTCCCCTCTAGATGGCTCACTCCTGTTTTGACCTGGAATGTCGAAGTTGCAATAGCTCATTAATTTTAGGCTTTAAACCTTTAGAACTATTCACAAACTGCGTCTGCAAGGCTCAGCTGATGAATAATGAAAGCGATTCCATTTTCCTACCTTAATTGACTTTATCGTTCAGATTGCGTAATCACAACATCACCACTGGAAGCATTTGCCGACGCTGACATCGCTATCCTAATAGCTTCAATGCCCCATCTCCCGGGTATAGAACGAACAGATCTCCTCCGAGCCAACGCCAAGATCTTCAAAGAAACTGGGGAAGCTTTAGAAAAGGTTGCCAAGCGATCAATCAAAGTTTTGGTCGTAGCGAATCCTTGCAACACAAATGCTCTGATAACCATGAAATATGCTCCTTCAATATGTCCGTCCCAATTTACAGGACTATCCATGCTGGATCACAACAGAACTGTTGCTCAGGTAAATCCAAAGTTAGATTGTAGATATAGATCCCTTTAAACAGACATGAGATTAGAGTTATTATGGAACACCAGCTGGGGGGGGGGGGGGGGGGGGGGTCCAACCCGATCATTCCGATCATTCCGATTCCGATTTTGGCCTCATCAACCCTCATATCGGAAAAATCGGGAAAATTTAAATCTTTCCTCTGAGGTTTCTAGGCGATATAGGTAGCTATTTCTGTACTTAAATATGACAAGAAATCGATTGGTGGTGGTCCCAGAACCCCAAAATGGTTTCTAGTTCCAAACAAGAATCGTTTCGTCCGAAAAACAACACACTGTCGTATCAACTCTTGTTTGACAGAAACATCCACCCCGGTCCACAATTGAAAGAGGTACGGTTGGTAATAGCAATCGTAACAAATAGAGAACGCTTTAGTAACTTTTGATTTAAATTGTCTCCACAATTTGTAACAGGCTATCTGCAGAAATGGGTAGCACGGTTAATGACCATTGACCGTGCTACCCATTTCAAGAGGAGGACTGAGGACGGGGAGGAGGAGGACTAAGAGAACGCGAGGGCTAAGGACGACGAGGACTGAGGAGGAGGACGAGAGCGAGGACGAGGACTGAGGAGGAGGACTGATAAGAAGGAGGAGGAGGACTGAGGATGACGAGGAGGAGAAGGAGGACTGGGGGAGGACTGATGAGGAGGAAGAGGACTGAGGAGGAGGACTGAGGACTGAGGAGAAGGAGGACTGAGGAGGACAGAGGAGGACCAGGACGAGGACTAGGAGGATGAGGACGAGGACTAAGGACAAGGACTTGGAGGATGAGGACGAGGACTAAGGACGATGAGGATGAGGACGATGACTAAGGACGAGGAGGAGGACGACTGAGGAGGAGGACTGATTAGGAGGAGAAGGAAGAGGAGAAGGAGAAGGAGGGTGAGGAGGAGAACTGAGGAGGAGGAGGAGGAGAAGGAGGAAAACTGAGGAGAAAGAGGAGGACTGGGGAGGACTGAGGAGGAGGAGAAGGACCGAGGAGGACTGAGGAGGAGGAGGACTGAGGAGGAGGAGGACTGAAGAGGAGAGGGAGGACTGAGGAAGAGGAGCAGCTGATTGGTGAGGAGGAGGAGGACTAAGGACGAGGAGGACTGAGGAGGAGGACGAGAGCGAGGACGAGGAGGAAGACTGAGGAGGAGGACTGATAAGAAGGAGAAGGACGAGGACGAGGACTGAGGAGGAGGACTGATGATGAAGAGGAGAAGGAGGACTGGGGGAGGACTGAGGAAGAGGAGGACTTAGGGAGGACTGAGGAGGAGGACTGAGGGAGGACTGAGGAGGATGATGAGGAGGAGGACTGAGGATGAGAAGGAGGAGAAGGAGGACTGGCGGAGGACTGATGAGGAGGTGGACTGGGGGAGGACTGAGGAGGAGAGGACTTAGGAGTAGGAGGAGAAGGAGGAGAAGGAGGAAAAGGAGGAGAAGGAGGAGGAGGACTAAGGAGGAGGAGGAGGAGGACTTAGGAGTAGGAGGAGAAGAAGGAGAAGGAGAAGGAGGACTGAGGAAGAGGAGGAGGAGGACTGAGGAGGAGGAGGAGGACGAGGAGGATGAGGACGAGGAGGAGGAGGAGGAGGACTGACGAGTAGGAGGAGGACTGGGGACTGAAGAGGAGGAAGACTGAGGAGGAAGAAGATGAGAGCTGAGGAAGAGGACTGAAGAGGATGAGGAGGATGAGGAAGAGGAGGAGGACTGAGGAGTAGGACTGAGGAAGAGGAGGAGGACTAAGGAGAAGGATGAGGAGGATGAGACTCATGAGGAGGAGGAGGAGGACTGAGGAGAAAGACTAAGGAGGACGAGGACTAAGGAGGACTGAGGAGAAAGACTAAGGAGGACTGAGGAGGAGGAGGATAAGGAGGAGAATGTGGAGGAGGAGGAGGATGACTCAGGAGGTGGAGGAGGATAAGGAGAAGGACTCATGAGGAGGACTGAAGAGGAGGAGGAGGACTGATGAGGAGGAGGAGGAGGAGGACTGAGGACGGGGAGGAGGAGGAGGACGAGAGCGAGGACGAGGAGGAGGACTGAGGAAGAGGACTGATAAGAAGGAGAAGGAGGAGGAGGAGGACTGAGGAGGAGGAATGAGGATGAGGATAAGAGAAGGAGGACTGGGGGAGGACCGAGGAAGAGGAGGACTTGGGGAGGACTGAGGAGGAGGATGACTGGGGGAGGACTGAGTAGGACGATGAGGAGGAGGACTGACGATGATGAGGAAAAGGAGGACCGGGGGAGGACTGATGAGGAGGAGGACTGGGGAAGGACTGAGGAGGAGGACTTAGGAGTAGGAGGAGAAGGAGGAAAAGGAGGAGAAATAGGAGGAGGAGAAGGAAGAGGAGGACTGAGGTCCTGAGGAGGAGGACTTATGAGTAGGAGGAGAATGAGGAGAAGGAGAAGGAGGACTGAAGAGGAGGAGGAGGAGGACTGACGAGGAGGAGAAGGACTGGGGACTGAAGAGGAGGAAGACTGAGGAGGAAGAAGATGAGAGCTGAGGAAGAGGACTGAAGAGGATGAGGAAGAGGAGGAGGACTGAGGAGTAGGACTGAGGAAGAGGAGGAGGACTAAGGAGAAGGATGAGGAGGATGAGACTCATGAGGAGGAGGAGGAGGACTGAGGAGAAAGACTAAGGAGGACGAGGACTATGGACGAGGACAAGGAGGATGAGGACGAGGGTTAAGGAAGAGGAGGAGGACGACTGAGGAGGAGGACTGATTAGGAGAAGAAGGAAGAGGAGGATGAGGAGGAGGACTGAGGAGGATGAGGAGGATAAGGAGGAGAATGAGGAGGAGCATGAGGAGGACTGAGGAGGAGGAGGATAAGGAGGAGAATGTGGAGGAGGAGGAGGATGACTCAGGAGGTGGAGGAGGATAAGGAGAAGGACTCATGAGGAGGACTGAAGAGGAGGAGGAGGACTGATGAGGAGAAGGAGGAGGAGGACTGAGGACGGGGAGGAGGAGGAGGACGAGAGCGAGGACGAGGAGGAGGACTGAGGAAGAGGACTGATAAGAAGGAGAAGGAGGAGGAGGAGGACTGAGGAGGAGGAATGAGGATGAGGATAAGGAGAAGGAGGACTGGGGGAGGACTGAGGAAGAGGAGGACTTGGGGAGGACTGAGGAGGAGGATGACTGGGGGAGGACTGAGTAGGACGATGAGGAGGAGGACCTACCTTACCTTGGGTACCTTGGGTTCGTTTCGGACTAGCACGCCCAGGCCAAGACATCTTGCGTCTCCACCACCGGTGTCTCCGTTATCATGTCTTGCTCACAGCCCATTCCAAGATTGAATTGCCATTTGCCCCTGTATATCCAGGGGTAGGAGGGGTGTCGGGGACGGTATGGAGAAAGCGATCAAGTGCTGCCTTGAATTTTGGCAAGGTTGGGATAGACTTGATGTCGTGAGGCACAACGTTATACAAAGCAGAGGCCACTGAAGGGAAAGAATGGAACCTCATGGTGTTGATGCTTTTGTATTTTGATCCGCCAAGAGGACGAAGACATGTAACTCCTCTTCTTTGAGAGTGTTGGAAAGAAATGTTTACACTGTTGGGAATCTCACCGTAGTAAATTTTCCAGACAAGGATGATCATGTACCTCTCGCGGCGGCGCTGTAGGGAGTAGAGATCAAGCTGCTTCAGGCGCTCCCAGTAGCTAAGATGCTTGTATCCTGCTATTTTCGCAGTGAATGAGCGTTGGATCGACTCAATCATGATTATGTCACACTGCAGGTGAGGCGACCAGAGAGCACAACAATACTCGGTAATAGAGCGGACGTATGTCTTGAAGAGCATCATCATCGTGTCTTTGTCTCTGGTAGAGAAAGTTCTCAGTACCCATCCAGCTTTGCTCGCTGCCTCAGAGGACTTTCTTGTGATGTGTTGACGCCAGGAGAGATCACTGTCAACATACACACCGAGATCTTTCACGACATCATCAGAAGATATCGATGCACCAGATGGTAAAATGTAGGGTTTCTTTAGCTCAGGGTTCTTACCATGCTGGAGAAGTTGGAACTTACTTTCGTTTAGCTCCATGTTGTTTGCTACTGCCCATCGCACTACTGCACAGAGATCTTCCTGGAGACATTTGCAGTCGGACGGGGAGCTAATGTTTTTGTGGAGCTTGGAGTCATCAGCAAACACTTTTACTTGAGGATGATGAGGAAAAGGAGGACCGGGGGAGGACTGATGAGGAGGAGGACTGGGGAAGGACTGAGGAGGAGGACTTAGGAGTAGGAGGAGAAGGAGGAAAAGGGGGAGAAATAGGAGGAGGAGAAGGAAGAGGAGGACTGAGGTCCTGAGGAGGAGGACTTATGAGTAGGAGGAGAATGAGGGGAAGGAGAAGAAGGACTGAAGAGGAGGAGGAGGAGGACTGACGAGGAGGAGAAGGACTGGGGACTGAAGAGGAGGAAGACTGAGGAGGAAGAAGATGAGAGCTGAGGAAGAGGACTGAAGAGGATGAGGAAGAGGAGGAGGACTGAGGAGTAGGACTGAGGAAGAGGAGGAGGACTAAGGAGAAGGATGAGGAGGATGAGACTCATGAGGAGGAGGAGGAGGACTGAGGAGAAAGACTAAGGAGGACGAGGACTAAGGACGAGGACTAGGAGGATGAGGACAAGGGTTAAGGAAGAGGAGGAGGACGACTGAGGAGGAGGACTGATTAGGAGAAGAAGGAAGAGGAGGATGAGGAGGAGGACTGAGGAGGATGAGGAGGATAAGGAGGAGAAGGAGGAGAATGAGGAGGAGCATGAGGAGGACTGAGGAGGAGGAGGATAAGGAGGAGAATGTGGAGGAGGAGGAGGATGACTCAGGAGGTGGAGGAGGATAAGGAGAAGGACTCATGAGGAGGACTGAAGAGGAGGAGGAGGACTGATGAGGAGGGGGAGGAGGAGGACTGAGGACGGGGAGGAGGAGGAGGAGGACGAGAGCGAGGACGAGGAGGAGGACTGAGGAAGAGGACTGAGGAAGAGGACTGATAAGAAGGAGAAGGAGGAGGAGGAGGACTGAGGAGGAGGAATGAGGATGAGGATAAGAAGAAGGAGGACTGGGGGAGGACTGAGGAAGAGGAGGACTTGGGGAGGACTGAGGAGGAGGATGACTGGGGGAGGACTGAGTAGGACGATGAGGAGGAGGACTGAGGATGATGAGGAAAAGGAGGACCGGGGGAGGACTGATGAGGAGGAGGACTGGGGAAGGACTGAGGAGGAGGACTTAGGAGTAGGAGGAGAAGGAGGAAAAGGAGGAGAAATAGGAGGAGGAGAAGGAAGAGGAGGACTGAGGAGGAGGACTTATGAGTAGGAGAATGAGGAGAAGGAGAAGGAGGACTGAAGAGGAGGAGGAGGAGGACTGAAGAGGAGGAGAAGGACTGACGAGGAGGACTGATGAGGATGAGGAGGACTCAGGAGGAGGAAGAGGAGGAGGAAGAGGACTAAGGACGAGGACGACTAGTGTAGGACTGAGGATGAGGACTGATGAGGAGAAGGAGGAGGAGGACTGAGGAGGACGATGAGGAGGAGGAGACTGAGGAGGAGGAGGAGGACTGTTGAGGAAGAGGAGGAGGATGATGAGGAGGAGGACTGAGGAGGAAGACTGAGGAGGACGAGGACGAGGACTAAGGACGAGGAGGAGGAGGACTGATTAGGAGAAGAAGAAAGCGGAGAAGGAGGAGGAGGATGAGGCTTGGAGGAGAAGGAGGAGAATGAGGAGGAGGACTGGGGGAGGACTGAGGAGGAGGATAAGGAGGACTAAGGATGATGATGAGGACGATTATGAGGAGGACAGAGGATGAGGACTGATGAGGAGGAGAAGGAGGAGGATGAGGTGGAGGAGGTCTGGGGAGGACTGAGGAGGAAGAGGAGGATGACTGAGGAGGAGGATGAGGAGGAGGACTCAAAATGAGGGCTCAGGAGGTGGAGGAGGACGAGGAGGAGGACGACTATGAGGAGGACTCAGGAGGACTGATGAGGAGGAGAAGGAGGAGGAGGATGAGTAGGAGAAATGAGGAGGAGGAGGAGGAGGAGGAGGACTGGGAGTAGGACTGAGGAGGAGGAGGGGACTGAGGAGCAGGGTGAGGAGGACTGAGGAGAAGGACGAGGACGAGGACGAGGAGTCAGGAAGAGGACTGAAGAGAACTGAGGAGGAGGAGGACTCAGGAGGAGGAGGAAGACTTAAGAGGAGGAGGAGGACTGATGAGAAGGAGGAGGAGTTGTCTGTTTTTGTTCGCCCTACTTTTTGTCCGTTTTGAAAATATAGGTCACCGAACGGACACAAAACATGATCCCCCAGCCAAGCATGTGTTACGATACAAATGTACTTGACTATACATTTAAGGTGCAGTGTAATAGTGATATTATGGTATGTTTAAAGACCGGACCACAAAATATAACCCGGTACCTATTGTTGTACTAATACATAATAACAAGTAACAGGGATAAAATTAATGAGCAGAAACAATCAATCTCACGTTAAAAGGCCAAAGCACTCGGGTCTGGGAGTACATGACAACTCCAACTAGTAGTGAGCATACTAGCGCCCCTGCAGTGGAAAAACACATAAAACATACTATTGGAATGTCCAATTGGTTCGTTTTCTCATAACAATATAGCATATGGAGGGGTTCTGGTTGAATTATATCACTTCTGAGAGGTTTTAGAGATCGATTCTGTTAATTTCTCAATTTTCCGATTTTTCCGATTCCGATTTTGGCCTCATCAACCCTCATATCGGACATCGGGTTGGACCCCCCCCCCCCCCCCCCCCCCACCAGCTATCCAATTGCAAATTGCCTTTTTTCATAATTTACCAAGCTCAGCTAATACTACTTCTAGGGAACATGTCGTAGAAGAAGTAATTAGATTCAGCGGGAGTGAGGAATAAAGAACTAGCAACTATTTTTGTGTTTGACTGCGACTTTTTGGCATCCTTAATTTTCTGAAAATCTAGTTGTAGTATCTCCAACACGGGAATTAATCTGTGAGATATAAAACCAAAGCTAATTCTCCTACCTCCCCAATACGGTTGATTACGGAGGGGGGGGGGGGGGGGGGTGGGGCGGAGGGGGAAATTGTTAAAATATTGATTACGCAATATGTGAACGACCCCCAACTATAAACTTTATCTCCCCACTAGGCAGCTAGAAAGCTAGGAGCCAATACAGAGCACATTAAGAACGTGGTAGTCTGGGGTAACCACTCTTCCACTATGTACCCTGATGTGTCTCACGCTACCCTCCTGGATCCAGCCACTAACACCCTAACACCTGTTAAGCAGCTTATAGAGGAGTCCTGGTCCAGAGGAGAACTTCTCCAGGTACCCTAACACACAAGTCAGACCATGATTTTATATTAACACTTTATTTTGCAAGACTTATGACTATGAGTCCTGCAAATTAACCAGGGCCGACAAAGTTGAACGTGAGGCCAGGCAACATCAACCATGGTGATAATGCCATTTCAGATCGTCAGAACGAGGTTCAAGGAGATTATAAACCGACGGGGAATGACGACAATGTCGACTGGAAAAGCTATAGCAGACCATCTTACTTATTGGACAAATGGAACTCTACAGGGCGCACATGTCTCCATGGCGTTACCTAGCAACGGAGAATATGGTGTACCAAAGGGAGTGTTCTTTTCTTTCCCTGTAAGAGCTCTCATCTGTTTTTATGATATAAATTAAAGAGGGTAATCGTTATTAGAATCCCACTTTCATTGCCTTTACAATTATATTAATTGCTCATCTATACCGTATAATAAAGATATTACGCCCAACATGTTTTCGAAAAATGAGCCACGATTCTCCCTGCAGGTGACGGTTAGTTACACTGGGAAGGTGTCTGTAAATACTGAACTCGAGCTGGACCAGTATTCTGAAGAAATGATTGCCACCTCTTACCAGGAGCTCAAAGCTGAAGCCGAAGAGGCTTTGGCGCTCGTCGAGTGAGAAACATTACGATCAGTTTGAGTTCAGGATTCGAATCGTATTCTCGAAGAAAACTTCAATTTTATATTACAATTTTATATATCTAGAAATAACGACAGCATAATTTCAAGAAATTTGTTAAAATTTACGATTTGCCCGTTATGAATATGATTTAATTTTTTATAAAAATAATTATACTAACATTAATGTGTTCTATTCATCATATATCTTTGCTTAAACGATAGTTTCTGATACGTAGTTTTGATTTAAATTTATGAATATAATTTTGTAGAATTCATATTAATACTCAATTTATCTCAGAGACATTTCCACAAAAATACTTGCGAAATTCAGATTTAAATAATTGTGATAATATGTATATCATTATAACATAATAAATTAATCACAAATGTTGTTATCTGTAGTAAAAACAAAACAAGTCAAAGAATAAAAAAGTCAGTAACCCTTCATTAAAATATTGAGACCGGACTTTATAACATAACGGTCAGGAATGCTAAGAAACCATAATCTTCTTTATCAGATTTAGTCTAAATACCATCCACCAATGTAATAAATATTGCTATCAAGTTTAAGTTTGTCAGACATCAAATTATTCCAAATGAATCAAATAAAGCAAAGTAGACGTGCCTTGTTTATCATTATCACGATTGCCGTTTCACTTTCGGTCGCTCATGATTCAACGCCTTTAGCAGGCTTCGAGCCCGTAATTATAACATCTGAAGATTTCATGATGTCAGTCTGATCAAACTTACAAATCGCATGAGTGACTTCTTGGAAAAGTTCTTCGGTCTCATGAACAACTTCATTGAAAGTGTCTTGGGTATCATTGAAAACTTCATTGAAAGTGTCTTGTGTCTCAAGAACTACTTCATTCACAGTTTCTTGAGTTTCATGGACAACTTCATTGATACTTTCTTTAAGTTCGTCAATAATCTGGAAGGCTATTTGGTCGCAGTTAGTCTCCTCAGGCTCCTCCTCCTCTGAAGGGTACTCGGTACCAGGTACGTGACCTAACGCACTCCCCAGTCTTATCACCTGTTCAGCTGAGAGAGAAAGAGGCTGATTATAAGTTCACGACGTAATTCTAATAAATTCTTTTCCAGATGAAAATTCAATATGAAGTACATAATCAAATCACAGATAAGATACTATAACGGGCACATTCTTGACAGTTTTACCTTATCTGTTTTGTTCATGACAAGAAAACTGCAAAACTTTATCATTCATATCATGAATAATTTCGCTAAAGTAACAGGATATAAACAAGCGTCTGGAACATAATATTATCCTACCTTTAAAATTAAATTCGAAAGATTTCGGAGCTTCAAACATTAGCACTATCGTTGAACCGAAATTGAAACCTCCGACCATCTCTCCCCTGCCCATTTCTTTCTTAGGTTCGATTTCTATCTCAGTGTCTTTCTCGAAACTCAGAAAGCCTTTATTAGTTTTGATCTTATCCTGAAAAAGTTGTGCATTACACGAATTTAACAGACTTATAATATATGAAAATAAAAATGTAAATGAATTTAACATAGCATGTTTATTGTTTACTCGTGACCTCCAGGGTCAGACACAATACACAAAAGCCCACTTAGCTGAATTCAGACTTTTACCACATTTAATTATGATAATAAATGGTGTACTGTAACAGAAACATACACAAAGTTCATCAAGTCAAGACTAGGCTGGAGTAGATACTAAATTCTGGCTCTGAAAACATATGATTGAAAGGAGAAATTGTTGTTACAGCTAAAAAACGTACCTTCAAGAAGTTGATTCTGATAGACCCGACGTTGGTAGCTCCAACAGCAGTGTAGGAGAAGTAACCGTGTTCCCAGGATCCTGACATTAGGACCCGCTCGTTTAGTGTGAGTATGTTTGGTACTATCCTACAGACTGACGGGTTCACTGACATCAGCGTACCTGGACAGTGTGTGTTTAGACAGGGTGGGTCCGGGCCGGGGGGTTCTTGTTTAGAGGTGGGGGCGGGTGGCTCCTGTTTAGAGGTGGGGGTGGGTCCGGGCCGGGGAGTTCTTGTTTAGAGGTGGGGGGAGGGGGGGGGGGCGGGGGTTCTTGTTTAGAGGTGGGGGCGGGTGGCTCCTGTTTATAGGTGGGGGGGGGGGGGGGTTCTTGTTTAGAGGTGGGGGCGGGGGGAGGCGGGTGGCTCCTGTTTAGAGTCAGGGGCGGGTGGCTCCTGTTTAGAGGTGGGGGGGGGGGGGCGGGGGGTTCTTGTTTAGAGGTGGGGCGGGGGGAGGCGGGTGGCTCCTGTTTAGAGGTGGGGGCAGGGGCTTCTGTTTAGAGGCGGGGGCGGGTTGCTCCTGTTTAGAGGTGGGGGGGGGGGGGGGGCGGGGGTTCTTGTTTACTGTTTAGAGGTGGGGGCGGGGGGAGGCGGGTGGCTCCTGTTTAGAGGTGGGGGCGGGGGCTTCTGTTTAGAGGCGGGGGCGGGTGGCTCCTGTTTAGAGGTGGGGGGGGGGGGGGGGGGTTCCGGGGGGTTCTTGTTTAGAGGTGGGGGCGGGGGGAGGCGGGTGGCTCCTGTTTAGAGGCGGGGGCGGGTGGCTCCTGTTTAGAGGTGGGGGGGGGGGGGGGGGCGGGGGTTCTTGTTTAGAGGTGGGGGCGGGGGGAGGCGGGTGGCTCCTGTTTAGAGGCAGGGGCGGGTGGCTCCTGTTTAGAGGTGGGGGGGGGGGGCCCGGGGGATTCTTGTTTAGAGGTGGGGGCGGGGGGAGGCGGGTGGCTCCTGTTTAGAGGTGGGGAGGCTCCTGTTTAGAGGTTGGGGCGGGGGCTCCTGTTTAGAGGTGGGGGCGGGGGGAGGCGGGTGGCTCCTGTTTAGAGGTGGGGGCGGGGGCTTCTGTTTAGAGGTGGGGGCGGGGGCTTCTGTTTTAGTACTCAGTGACTGACTTTGAACATTCTTTACGTCCAGACTGAATGCAGTATTGCAGTTGGTTAGAGATAAATTTCAAACAACTAATACCGCATGACTTATCACATTACATATTGCCACTTTTAAAAATGAGATATATGAAAATTGAGAACACAAAGTAAAAGGAGAGTGTTAATTCCACGTACCAGGGAAATGAATGACTTTGTCTACTGACCAGGAGCAGGGACTGTGGAACAAATGGTAGTCTCCAGGAGCTAGGTACAGGACACAGTAAAACAGATCATTGGCTTCTGGATCTGAAACAAGATTTATAAGTCCTGGGTTTGAATGGTTTACAGTTGAAAACGCGCATAAAACATAATGTATTTTCTGATTTTATTTCTACGATGCTTATCTATCCGATCTGCCCCAATGAACAGGACCTACCAACTCTAAGAACTACACGAGTGTAAGATAAGAACCTGAAAGTTGAGGGTGACAGCCCAAGAACCTCTCCACTGGGTACCGGACCCCCTTGACCTGCTCTACAACACCATCCTCACACTTCCCGTAGTGTAACACACGGCCGTCACATGGTATCACCTGTAACAGTATTATTTGTTATAACATTGAACTGTATAGTAGATCTAGTAAAACATGAGCCTTCAAAATGGACTTCAAAACGAGCTTCAAAATTTTTCAAAAAGGGGCCCACTCCCAGAAGCTTAGTAGCTGGGTGCTGCTGAGTGCCGCTTGGTGCCGTAAGCTGTTTACAGAGTGTAAGGACATCCCTTAAGAACTAGTGTAAGTAAATCTGTTGTTTGAAATAAGAGACTACTCAAACGGCAGCTAATAACAGCTCATGATAGCTAATGATAGCTAATGATAGCAAATGACAAATGTAGAACTTACCAAAGGTGATTTACGGTCGATCTTCCGAACAGTAGGCTTGAGCTCCCTCTGGAAGAAGTCTCCTAAAGTTCGGTAAGCGTCCAGTGATTCTTGTACTGCTTCTCCTAAGTTTACATTGAAATACCTGACAGAAAGATTTTAGTGAAAGAAAGTGGGGAAAGTTTCAATATTGTAAGGTCTACTATCCACTTATCCAGGTTAAATCAAAATGGTTAAGAATTGTGAAGAATCAATAACACGCTCTAAACCCTTACCAGCAGTAAAAGTTAAGAATGGGGTTAAGAACTGGTCGAGGCAGCTCCCTCTCCCCGACGAACCCAACAACTCTAGATCCGGTTCTTAGTGGCAAGAACTGATAAAGGTATGCCTGAAATAGGAAACATCTGTTAGCGCATACCAATTAATGGAATACCCGATGGAATAATTCTTTTAGCTTAACTTGATTGAATCTGAAACCGGACTGATAAAATTTAACAGCATTTTAAAAACGCATTATTGCTCAGATCAGTATTGACTCACTAAATAATCATCTACTTCTACTTCGGCTGGATTTGCTGCCAGGGCTTTTAATCGTTTTTCCTCTCGTTTCCGAGTTTTATAGAACTGAAACAATGAAAACAGATATAAAATATCAAGAATTTAAAGATAACAATTTTGTTAAATTCCTGTACAGTGTACATCTTCAAGTCACAATCCACAAAATATGGAAATATCATCGTCTCTTCTACAGTCCTACAAAGTAGAATTTACAATCGATTTTAATCTCTTGTAGGACAAGTTTACACCCCGCATAGTTATACAGGAGAGAAGAATGGAAATATTGAATAACGCAGATACAAATTAATGAAATGTACAAATATGGCAACCCACTGTACCTGAATGTAGCAGAGAAATAAAACTCCGACTAGAACTGGTATTCGAAACCAGTTATCTTTGTAGTATGTAGCAACTGATCCCGCACTCAAACAGGCTGTCAATACTGAACATGGAAATGGTAAGGTATATTTAACAAACAAACAAGGCATTTCCTAACTGAAAGTAATTTATAAATTACTTTCAGTAAGGTAATATATATAAATATAAGGTAATATATAAGGTAATATATAAGGTAATTTATAAGTTATTTAGAATATATATTCGCATGTATCCACACTATATTTACATTACACGTTCAACGTGAAAGTTTTTCGGAATTAATCATCACCTATAGACAGCATGAGAGTAGGCCTGGCCATCTCGAAGTGATAATAGTAATATATAAGGTATATATACCTTATACCATAATAAATTTTAACTTAGATAGCAAAGGATGGAAATTATTTAACAAATTCACCACGTACAATATTGAAAGGTCGAAGAATTTTCTGTTCCTCTATATGAAAACAAACGAATCGTTTCAGTATGTAAGCTCTAATGTTATGAAACTGATTGACGGTGACCTATAGCTCGTTAAGTATTTGAGGTATTTGTTTACGTGATAGGCATGCACCTGTATTGATGATTAATGAAGGTATAAGTCACCAGGTTATAGTCACAACACTTGTTATCTACAAGCTGCTACCACTAATAAAGTTATACAAAGAACCCTGGATCTACAAGCTACAAGGGCGTTACCACTTACACAGTACCAGGGCTACACAATGCACAGTGCACACCTCACCTAAACAACGATCATTATGTGTAGTATGCCCCTTGTGCTCAATACTTCATTACTTAATGGTGCATTATGCAAACATGGCTGTTAATCGGAATGGAGGCCTGAGAGGCAAATATGCCGATCTAAATCTGCAGATTTTGAACTGTGAAGGGACCAGATGTGATTTTTCAGATGTGATTTTTCGGATAAGGCAAGAGGCGAAGAGGTACAGAGAAATTGTCGCTTTAGTCAATAACACAGATCAAATTTACACCAACAAGAATTGCGCCGGTTAGCGGACGCTAGATTTCCATCGACCGTACTCGTAGGCATTGCTTTTTAAAATTTAAAATTACAATTTACAAAAGCCATGTGAAGGAATGGCTGAAATCCGTATTAGGTAATCATAATGTAACTCATAATAATATTTACGGTCCATTTCGTATAACAAATTAATCGCTCGACAATAATGTTCAACATGATATCAGCATCATAATTTGTTCAACAAAGGATGATCATGATAATTAATTACTCTGCACTCGACTGTCACGTAACTTTTTCAACTTGTTCTCTAGCTGGCCCTGAACGACTATTCGAAACCCTAACCTATTATTTGATATATTAATTCCAATTTTAGAACAATCTCGAAGATCGACTGTAAAGTGATTAAGCACGCTCGTTCAACAATATAACGGATTATTAATAATCTTCATTTAACTGATTGGGATCTGAGTTCTGACACATGTAATTTTGCAATGATCTTTCTAATTTCTAATTTCTAATTTCTAATTTCTAATAGCATTATCGGGAGCCAAGTCGGTTGTTGCACCAATAACTCACAACAAAACGTGAAATTAGTATGTTATACTTGTAGTTGTACTTGTAGCGCATCAATGATCAACATTATTTATATTAAAATCCATTTAAAACAACAGAAGAAATTACTGTAATTACATATGTACGCTGACCCATGACCGTAACTGTTATGAAAACTTTAGTCAGCTTGGCGCCGCGCATTTGAAAGTGTAATACAATCGTCGAATCGTGCAAACGTGTGCGGAGGGTAACCGTGGAGATGACACCATTACTGCTCCGCGCGCAGAGAAGATGCATTTAAATGGTTATGCGGAGGGTAATGCATGTTTTCCTTTGTGACACAATTCATGACTCACGTGACACGAAAAACATACCTACCCACTATACCCGTCCTCAATTCCTACCACTTCTAACCATCTATTGCCTTTTTAAGGCGATGGAAAAAATAGCGACTATCTATCAAACAAGAGTGATATTGAAACAGTTAAATCTGCGAAGTGTGAATAAACCTTTAAACAAACCTGCAATAACTGAAAAAATAAGAATAGTCGGTACTAACCTAGTTGAGTGGAGTTAGGGTTCCTGTTTGTTAAACTCTGCCCCTTAGACAAAGACGCCCTGAAAACTAGTGGCATATTATTAGAATAACATTACAAAGGGAAAACTAGCATCATATTATTGGGATAACATTATGGGGTTATTTTAAAGTTACATGAGTTGCACTTTGGACGGATATTACTTGTAAATATAGCGTTATTAATGAATTCACAAAATTTTAAAATATAATATAGACATTAATTCAAATTATTATTTCAGTTACAAGTTTACGTTATAGAACGTATTCGATTGATTAAGATTTATCCATATCAGTGACATGGTACGTGAATATGAGCTGATATTATGTAGGATAGTGGGACGTGAACCTGTAAAATTATTAATATGATAACGTATACGGGCGGTATACCACATTATATACGTATGTTATTAAAGTTAACAGTTATAGTTAAGCATCACATTATATATTAAAAGATTAAATTATGTTGTGTTATTAAAATGTTTAGGTTAGGCCTCATCACGTGTGTGACGTGTCATTAAAGTGAACTGTTAATGTTAAGCCTCTTATCTACTACTCACCTTTCTTAGACTTGTTTCCTATTTTGTAGCGGAAGTTTTTGATCCTATATCTGACTTTATATCTGCTAACCATCTCTCAAACAAAACTACGGATCAAAACATGGGCATTAAATTACGACTTGTCAGTTGTCATCTAGAACAAAGCCGAAAGTAACAAAAATATGGAGTCAAAATCCAAAATTTGGATCACGAGTAATGAAGTAAAGTGTAAGTTCCACTGCTATTTAATATCTTAGTTAGTAACAATGAACTATCATCTCAAAACACAGATTCCAGGACAGGGGTCCCATGATGTACTACAGCGCATGTTACATTGGTCAGTAAAGGTAACTGCTAAATGTTACATTAGTAAGTAAAGGTGACTGCTAAATGTTACATTGGTCAGTAAAGGTGACTGCTAAATGTTACATTAGTAAGTAAAGGTAACTGCTAAATGTTACATTGGTCAGTAAAGGTGACTGCTAAATGTTACATTGGTCAGTAAAGGTGACTGCTAAATGTTACATTGGTCAGTAAAGGTGACTGCTAAATGTTACATTAGTAAGTAAAGGTAACTGCTAAATGTTACATTGGTCAGTAAAGGTGACTGCTAAATGTTACATTGGTAAGTAAATGTGACTGCTAAATGTTACATTAGTAAGTAAATGTGACTGCTAAATGTTACATTAGTAAGTAAAGGTGACTGCTAAATGTTACATTATTAAGTAAAGGTGACTGTTAAATGTTACATTAGTAAGTAAATGTGACTGCTAAATGTTACATTAGTAAGTAAAGGTGACTGTTAAATACACACGACACGCGCTAGATCATGTGTTGGTAGGGCGTCACCGGACTCTGCAAGAAAAGTAATGCGATTAGCACAGGCACACAGTTCATATGACATATCTTGTACATAACATCGCACTGCTTTTTAAACCTCTGATCTAGACGAGGCTGTGAGCTGATAATGACACGGTTATACAAAATAATATATTATATTTTGCAAGAGATAACTGAAATGTTAGACGTACCTAACAAGCATTTTTAAACTGATCGCATTTTATTTGCTCCTTTATCTAGAATAAAAGATTGTAATTTCAAATTTGGATGCAAGTCTATATATAAAATAATAAAATGGGTAAAATAAAAGGGAGCACAGCTAACCACTAACAGGGATCTGCAAAGTAAGCAGGTGTCAGCGAGAACAACAGAGTCATGTACAAAGCTAATGAGCAAGAGAGGACATGTGAGGGTGGTTACTGGTTAGAGATCATACGACAGGTAGAGGAGGGGAAATAGAAGAGAATAGAAGTGCAACTTCCCGAGCTTATCATGCTATGGATGATTTAAGAATGACATATTGTAACTCAGTAGAAAACACAAGGTTCAGAGATATTATCATGACTTGTAATTAGCGTATTATACTTATTACTCATTATGCCATGCTATACTAGACACTGTATTAACTATTACGGTGCAGTGGGTGTAGTGGGGACCACGCTACACAAACCTCACTACACTCACTAAACAAACCTCACAACACTCACTGAACAAACCTCACAACACTTACTAAACAAACCTCACAACACTCACTAAACAAACCTCACTCACTACACAAAATAACCCTCGTGTGGTTTGACGGCTGACAATTATGCAACTATTATGCAAATCTATCTGATAATTGGGCTAAGAGCGTGTGATCCCAGCCAGGAACCTGCATGTGTACACTCTCATCATCACACTAGACTCACGTTACTTAATAACAGTTACTATGACAGTAAGATTGTAAGAAGTAGTCACGTGATATGCTGATCAGTATCATGTGATGTGTGTGTGTGTGAGCTGCCAGACTCGATATTAGATATTATCCGAGTATTATAATAATTGTTATTGTTGCAAGGGGGTAATTATGAGAACATTCGTGCTATGCATTATCATCATGCATTTCAGCTCATGTTACAATACACATTATACAATATAGATTCATAAAGGTTCAAAAACTCTATTATTACACTTAACTTCAGTATATAATTCACCATACTAAGTTCTTGATCCACAAACTTATGATTAAGAATAAATCCAAGTGAGTAGAAAAATTGATACACATAATCACATGATAACAAAACATAACTTTAGTTAGTCTCAATCCCCGGACGGTTGTTATACTTTGATAATTTGCTGTAGTAAACTTGTAAAACAGAATAGAGCTCAAAATTACATATTCATGATAATATGTAACTTCAGGGTTAACACACAAGCTCTATTGTGTTGTACTGTGTACAACTACAGTAACTACAGAGGTTGGGGAACAAAGAGGGGTGTATCACGTGACGAACCACCCCTGCAGATTTCGTCGATTTTAGGTGCCGTCGGCACCATAAAAATTAAAAGCAAACATAAATTTTTTCCCCTAAAATCGAACGCTTTCTGCGCAAAAAATTGACCTCAACAGAAAAAATTAAACATGGCTTCAAATCCAAATTTGAACCAAACATTTTTCACTTCCTCTCGATAAACTTAATTTTCAACCCAAAATAAAGTCTCAAAGGGGTAAATTACTCAGGTCAGGATTGTAGGCAAGGATTATGCCAAACCATACATTTTTGTAAATTCATTAAACTTTCAATTTAGCCTAAAACACCCTATTTCGCAAAATTTTTCCGGGGGGCTGCGCCCCCCTAGCCCCCGCCAATGTGGTCTGCGCCTTACCTGGATCCCGCTGGGGGCCGCGCCCCCGGACCCCTGCCACAGCTTGCAGCTTCGCTCGCCGACAGCCCCCCCCCCCCAAAGAAAAATCCTGGCTACGTGCCTGAGCAAAATATAGGTTAAGGGCTTTTCAGATGATTTGGCTCCTCAACAGATACCGACGTACATAACGGTCAATATGTAGTTTAGGTTTACCTGGCCCGTAGGTTACGAATGTGCCCGAGGAGGAAAAAAAGCAAACTTAAGAAAATTTCTCGGGAACTTAAAAGTTCACCTCAAAACGAAATCTGCACCTATGTGACGAACAGGTATCTTGTCATACAAATATTAGCCTTCTTATAAACCTGTTAGTAAACATTCTAATAAACCTGTCAGTAAAGCTGACAATTGCCATTAATCAAGCAAATTAATCAGGATCAGAAGAAAAGTCAGAATGAAATTCATAACGTTTATGAATTGATACCAACTCATATTTCAAAATTTGCTCCTTCATAAATTTGTTTATCAATTCCTAAAATCTAAACATTATTTTTTAATAAACGCGCTAATAAGAAGACCCACAGATAAAGAATCCCGCTCATGGTCCGCTGATTAATCCGCAATACATCTGCTAAGGTTAATAATAAGAAACCCACTAATAAATAATAATGTATAAGCAATAATACTTTAAACCCAGTTCAACTTATAGGCCCATTTGTATGCCCACAAGAAATAGCTGTGCCTCATGATACGGATGACTGAATATTTCCACAAACACAAGCTGCACAACACCTGAGAGTGGTTCAAGTTTCAACATTATAATCAAAATGAGAAGGCTACTTGTCAAGATAAAGAGATAACGCTAACTAGGCACGAGATGGACTTGGTCGAGATATGATCACCTCATCACATGTAAACATGTTTCCCAAAATCACACTGAATTCCTTAAATGCGTTACTAATTTAATTCTAAGCTTATCGTCTTATGTAATGTGTATGAACTACGGCTTGATTTGCACTTTGAAGTTTAGTATTTTGACGGAGTCGCAGGAACCCTCATAACATAAAATTTTTCCTAAATGAGTAATTAAATGTACAGTGTAAAATAAGTAGAAACAAGAAAATATCACCTTGAAAGATATAGAGCGGGCAGAGAACGAGATAGAACAGTCTATACATAGTACCGTAGTGAAATATTGTACTGTGATGAAAGGAAGGCAGAAGAAAGAAAGGCAGTAGTGAAGGTAATGACGTATTTATAATAATGTGCTTCCAACGTTCCTGGCTACGTGACGCCTCTATCAGGAGTTCTAGTACTAGTACCTACTTCTACTGCAACTGTTTGTGACCTGACAGCATGCGTCTAGTTCAGGGTGGAAGTGCCACTTCCCGCCCCGAATAGGTTATCTACGGTTTATTAGAGTCAAGCTGGATGAGCTGGTTAGCTTAGACATACATTTGGATAAAATGCGCTGGTTTTATACATATATCACCACAAATACAGATTCAATACAGTTGGAGGTTATAATTTAAAGTAGTGTCCAAACTCGAGCAGATACAAGATAATTTCACTGTTAACGAAGAAAGATGTGTCATGTGTGCGATACGATAACTTACAGATTTCACAAATAACGTCAGCACCTTTTTGTTAATTTCAACAACAGCCAGTCAGCAATCAAACCTCCCAATTTGTAATACAACCACAGCATTTGATAGCCCTCCTCTACAAAAAACTGTAGGCAACAATTTTATTACGTTCACAAAATACTAACAATATTGACCAGCCTCTCCTCTTGTCATATTACTTGTTACGTATAGCAGCTAGAGCCTAGAGGTACAATTCTCAGAGAATCAATCGACTTTTACCCTTTTATTATATATGAAATGATGAAAATTTGGTCAAATTCAGTAATATTTTATAACGTCCGCGTCAGTAATGCCCTATCCCTTTCCTCGCCCTCCTCCAACTGGAAATCAGTTTAAAGTAACACGATGAACTAGTAGACATCTAGAAACACAACAGAGTACAGGAACAGAGAATAACATGTTCAATAGCTTCACTATAATAAACCTGCACCCCCATTAGCTGTCAACTATCATCTGACTATTAATAGCGTATAGCACTACTATAAGGAATGGTCTTCAGGCTGTAACAGTTAAACAGATGAATACGCTGTGACCCGCTAGCTGTGGAGATACTTGAGGCGGGGAAGGCAAATAGGGTATACAATTGTGAGGGGTCAATGAATGGAGGTTAAACGGTGTTTATAACCCACTTTGGGTGTGGTCGTGACGTCTTGATTAAACTAATAAACTAGGGGTATTTATGATTATATGCCAGGAAGTGGTTGAAGAAATTACATGTTTTGCAGAGGACCGGTATTGCAACTAGTGACAAAGTGAAAGTAAAATGTGGGGAGTGATCGATGAAAAACGTACGATTATTTAACTTACCATTTCTTTGCATTAGAGAGTTCCTGTTAAGGTTCCTTTGATCAGTTGAATATGTTCGACTGGAGAACGGGTGCGAAGTCACGCCACTATCAAGTAACGCGTGAGAAGTCACGCGACTGCTGGCAAGACGCCAAGTTGCCGCATGTCTCTTAAGGATGATGTCTGGTCTCTGAGCAGTACGATAGCAAGTGTTGCAAAGCAGATACGACATAGCTACACCTGGTGGGTATGTAAGCTTTACTGATTGGATTAGACACGTGATCAATTTACCTTGCAGTACGCGACTCATTTATTATATGGTGATAATAACAGAATATCATGTCATATTCGACTACACCGATATTCTGATAATATCAAGAGTGTCGCGTGTGTTTGCCAATTGCCTCGTGAGTTGAGAGAAAAGTTTAGAGTTATATTCTTGAGTCAAGAAATCACAACATTGAAAACGTTATAAACAGAAATCTTTCAATAAAATTCTATCATCATCATCTATCTGAAAATAAGTATAACTTTATACTTTCTGTACAAGGAACAAAAACCCTGGAATTTTCAATTATGTCTCGATCTTTGAGAAATAACAAAAGGCTGACAAATCATCTGAGTTGTAACCCCATCCAAAAAACATCTTGATCATCGCATCCTTGCCATTCAAGTCGTAGTTATTGGCAAGAATTTCTGACTGAACAAATTTAAATATTAACTTAAAACCTCTGTAACGTTATATACACTCTGAACGAATAAAAACAATCATATTTAGATACAATCTATGTTAATTGAACTAACACTATACACTGTACATCATCTTACAAAGTGGCTATGTACATAAAAATGCAGTGTGGAATGGGCATCACTGTCTATCTCCCAACAGTTGGAATTTCCCTTAACATTTCAGAGATTTGATCTCCAGCAAATCAACCTGATCATCAACAAACATTCTGCCTTATAAAACGATATCATAAAAGTACCAGCACTCCCCAACGTTAAGTAGGCGGTACAACTGCGTCTGATTTTTTGTCCACGAATGCGTTTTTAACGACTCTACGTGTGGTGCCGACAACAGGACGACCCCCACTACTCGTTGTTATAGTCTGAGTGACGAGGGACTCGATGGACGATGTCCGGGACGAGATTGGGATGAGTTGGGGTTTGGAGCGGTTATTGGTGTTGGGGGCGTTGGGGAGGATGGGACTGCTGAAGGCTGTGGCGACGTTCGGGGATTTAGTAGATTGATGCGTCATTGATGATGGGTTCCTCATGGCTGTGTCAGAACGGCTCTTCTTGGTGATCTTAGGGAGAGTCTGTTACTTTGCAATGCCTGATATCACAACTTATTGTAAAGTTAAAAAGGTCTATATTCCATGGGGATATTCTTATACATATTTTATTCTACAGGCTCAATATGTCCTACTTCATTTATTGTTTCACAACCTGAATACAACCAGGCCACCCAATAAACAGAGCTAGCATCCAATTATTACTAATGTGGGAAAAAAAGTATCCTTAAACCACCCCCTTCCTTATCAAGTCATTATTGAAACTGTGATGATAATGAATATTCAGAGAAAGCCGTTATACTACACATACCCTGGTTTTAACGTTCATAGGATTGATGAGCCCTATCTTAGGGCCGGCTGTGTTAAACACCCTGTTGTAGTTAGACTCTCTGTTCACCAGTTCTAGCTCAAAGAACTTCTTCTCGTCCTGAAAAAGGGTTGTGTAAGCTTTACCTGATATCAGAGATTTGACATTAACAAGATAATTTAACCAGAGACATTAGCACAAGTAAGATTAGCACAAGTCAAGATTTCAGAACGGATAAGGAACACAATTTCTCACAATGAGATGTCTGATCCTCTCATCTGCCTCCGCAATGGTGTTCTCCAACTCCAGGATCTTGTTGAGGTCCTCTGGGCGGGATGGCCGGTTACTATACTGCTCGTATGCCAGACTCAGCTGGTGGTTCAGTTCGCTCATTTGCAGCCGCAAGTCTTCTACCTGTGAAGGACAGAGCGTTATTTACAGATTGTTTGCTATAGATCTAAAAATTGAAATTATTAACATTACAAAAGCACAGAAATTATCTGTGATTTTTCGCACTAATGATAATTATCACTAACATCATTTTGGTGCTTGAAGGTAAGTTCATCGACGTCTCTCGTAAATTTTTGCTGTACACCTTTTATTTCACTCAAATGAATAGCGTTCAACTTCTTTTCACGCTTCCTAGGGAGAGGGTCAAATGTGTAAATATTTTCATATGTGTAAACAGGATTACTTCATCCAAAAAGGTAACCATAGGACGATTAATAATAATTACCGATTAAGATTGGTTATTACATATTGCTCATACTCCATTAACGGATCGTTAAGACCTACTTTATCTGAATAACTGCCTCTTGTTTTATCTGCATAACTTCCTTGCACTTCTCCTCAAACTCCTTCTGGAGATCAGCAAGATTATTCTGCAATTCCTCCACATCGTCCTTATACTGACTCAGCTCTAACTGTTTATCAGTGAGCTGGTTCTGTACTTGCTCCAGTTTTATGTTGAATTGTTTCATCTGTCAAGAATAGGATTGTCAGTATGAGATGTTTTTAATCGTTAATGTAAAATTCATCATCGCTGAATATAATATGTATGCATTGCGGTATATACTGGATTGTAATATTATGACAAGTTTGATGTCAATGGAATAAACACGTCTCTATCACGGCTTTACCTCCCTGTCCCTCATCTCAAGCTCCCGTTGTAACTCCTCCTTTTGTTCCTCGTAGCCCAGGCTCAGTTCGTGTATCCTTAGTTCCGTCTTTTCAGCACACTCCTTTTTGCACTTTGTCAGTTGGTTCTCTGGGAGATTGAGCAATGTTAACTTTAGTAACTTTACGATAAATTGAGTATAACGTTAAAAACATTAGTTCCGAAAAATGTGTGGTTTCCTAGATTATTAACCTAGTTCTTTTCGGGCTGTCATCTTGAGCGTATTAATGTCCAGAGTACGTTTCTGCTCAAACTGATCTTTTAAAACATCAACCGATAGTTTATTCGCTTTAGTCATCTCATGGATATTCTGCCTATGAGCTAAGACCAACTTGTCTTCTTGATTCTGAAAGATTTAATGATATAAATAATGTTGATATTAATAACATTGCACGAAACGTTTCCTACAAATCCGGTGTTCATATCGTCAAATTCAAGCTTAATTTTCGTTATGACGACTGCAAACTATACAAAAATTTCTAAACAGTATCAAGGGTCTCGACCTTAAAATCTCGTGTTAAAGATTCGTCGAGTCGCTTCATTGCGTCCTTGTGCTCCTCTTCAATTTCTTTGATATTCTGAGCATGATCAATCTTTAGCTGTTTAATTTTCGCGTTTAACTCCAGATATTCACTCTTACTCTGCTCGTTTAGGCTCATCTCCTTTTTCAGTGCTTCTACGTTTAAAACACTGAGCTGTTTCTCAAGTTCCTTGACCTGTAAATATATTGTTTAAGTTCTGTTTTCAAATTTAACGTTGTCGATAGCGGGAAGAAAACATGTGGTTAAACTGCGCGCGTATTAACGCGCGTGACACACAGTGCTTATTACAAACCAACTTCCATTACTCAAAATCAAACTAATTATACCATATTTGGACGTCGCATGGCAACCTAATTGGATAAATACCATATAATGGATTAACTACAGTCGGATTGAACTAATTCAATATACCTTAATTCCCAAAAATTTGGGCGACAAAAAATTTGAGCGGGCCTCTCGCCCAAATTTTTTGCAGACCAAATTAATTGCATAAATCTTTTCCGTCTGCTAAATTTTTTGCTAACCAAACTTTTGGCATTTGGCCTGTGGCCCTGAAATCTATAGAAAGATGGCTTTTTCTTCATATCCAAGTGAAATAATATTTGAAATTTTAGTTTTCTAATCTGTCATTCATGGCTTGACCAAGTAAAAAGGCTTATATTTTAAATGAATAGAAATAACTGGAATAGCAAACAGCTACTAATAAAACAAATGGCTAGAGGTACGGATAGCTAGAGATTTAAACAAGATCTGCAAATGGATTATCATCCACCGTAAAGTCTGATCTACAAGCATCAGTTATTCCTTATGTCATCTGGCCTCCCTTTTAAATATACAAAAAGTTCGTTGATCCAACGAGCGTGTACTTCACGGATCACTGTCAAGCGGGTATCAATTTTCACATTGTCTGATGAAACTCCTCCATTGAGCTGACACACTATGTTTTTCGCGTACCAATCTTCGTACTTATTGCGCATGAATTTCTTAGCCAGTCCATTGATAGATATGTCCAGGGGCTGTAGATGATGGGTCATATTAGCTGGAACTTTCTGTAGGATGCAGTTGTTGGCTGTCATCAGATCTTTTAGTGCCTGAGTGTGTTGGGCCCGAAACACATCTGATATCAGTAGCGCTTTCTGCTCAGGGTTGTTGATGGAGGCTCGAACTGATTTTATGTGGGAAGAAGGATTTTCTCAAAGAACTGGACACTGGTCAAACCTTTCGACCATCTGGTGAGGCGTCATAATGATAATTGTATGTGAAAGGGGTATGATAAGATATGCTGAGTGTAAGTAGACTAAACTATCTGATTGAGAGACTAAATATCACTATTGTATGTATATCTATCATTTTGTACTGTGCCATCATCACTGTATTTTTTAGTAGTTACTGGGCAGATCGTAAATTTCATAATGTGAAACAACTCAGACTACCACCTGCATGCTTAAAATTGAAAGCAAAATGACTGGAATAATAAGGAATAATAATGAACTAAGGCAAATATCTAACTGAAATTTTAGTGGAAAATCGTTCATTTTTCGAAGAATTTGTGCCCAAATTTTCGGTCGCCCAAATGAGTTAAAATTTTCTGCCCAAATTTTTGGGGCTCAAATAAATTGTGCTCAATATTATGGCACACAAATTTTTGGGAACTAAGGTATCTGAACTAATAGTTGAGCGCAGTTTACAGGACGACCTCACAGCGATTGGTATATGGCATGTATAATCATGCATACACCGATTTGAAGTGTTAATTGTAAATTCAGACATGCTGTTTTTTGTGCATTTTTGTTAATTGACCTATTTAGCCCCGCTTGTCCAATTCTTGCTAAGTGATCGTTCACATATTACGGAATCACTGAGGGGGAGGGGTTTCTAAATAATTACACGAGTGTTATTTTAACACTATAGCTATGTGTAAAACTGAATACGGAGAGGTTAGGGGGTTAAAAAATGGGCCAAAAATTGATAACGTAATTTTCGAACGACACCTAACTGCTCTTCAGGGTGAAATGATTGTGTAATTCTTAAAATCATGAACAGAAACGTAACAGCTTCTGCTGGGATAAGTGGACACTAAAAGAAGCAGCAGTTCAGGGATACATACTCGTGTGTGCGTCTCATATTTCCTTTATATTAGTACCTACCCATTTCATTTTAGAGACGTTACAGATCGTGATCTGGAGACAATGAATAATTCACACTTTTAGAGCATTTTAAATCTATTAAATTATCAATAATTGGTCAGTATGTATTACCAATATCTGCACATGCAATCGTTTCGCTATCCAATACCAAGATTTCTATCTAATTCATATATTAATGGTTATTCGAAAGAAGCCGAACGTTCTTTCCTAAACCTCAATTTTTATTGCATATTGCGTGGTAAGATCAAACACCACCGATTTGCCGTACAATCGCATCTTTAGCGTATGTATGGCTAGGATTAGACAAGCATAGCATGTCAAGATACCGTTCAGTACAATTGGATAAACAAAGTCGGTTCTTATCGTAATCAACGACACCGTAAAATGTAAAGAATTCGGTGAGTCGAGCTTTAGTCGACCATACCTTGGCTTGAAGGGCTTCAGTTTTTTCTTTCCAAGCAGCCTCGGCATCAAGAAATTCTTGTAAATGGGTGTCTTTCATTCTTTTTATTTCAGAACTTCTGCTTTGTGACTGTCTTCGAAGTAGCTCATGCTCAAGAGCTTCAAGATCTTCCCTGGAAATTAGCAAATTAAGGTCCGTGTTGGCCAGATTCGTGAATAACATATGCTTTAAATTTTGAGATGACAACCCTATCATGTTAACATATTAGTTTAAACCATACCTTAGTTTCTTGGACCAGTAGCCATCAAGCTCCTTAGCTTTAGCAGCAACTTTGTCATCTGCATACTGTTCTCTCTGTTTCTTTGTCACAGCATGGTTCGCTACTTCCTTGTCAAACTCTTCCTGTAAACAGTAAAGTGGTTACCTTACTCGGGAATATTATAGCGGGTTAATTTATGACTGGGAAAATTAATAACCGGGAAAAATATGGCGGACTTTCCCAAAACCCGCCAAATTATCCCGGTCATGTATTTACCGGTGGCCGACCTTTCAAGTTTTTTTTCAGAGGTCAACAAATTTTCAACCGAAATTTCAATTTACAGTTACTGATATTACTCAGAAATAGAAAAAAAGACACGTCTAGTATTTAAAGGAAAATAAATCTATAGCAATAATAAGTCAAATCTTCATTAAAGCGTATTCTCATTCTCATTATCGCTAATGTCCCCTCCATTATCATTATTGATATCCCCCTGCTGCTGACCGTCAAATTCGAAGTTGTATTGTTGTCTTAACAAGACTTTCATTTTGTCCGCTAATGGGGCTACTGCTCTGAAGGTCAGCCGGAGCTTAATTTCCTGCCCACCGCTTGGTATTGGGGAACGTCTTGGCTTTGCATCTTCAACTGCTCCAGTAATCAATCCACCGTGGACCATGAAATAGTGGCACAGTTTACTCACTTCATGGGCAAGAAAAGTGAGAATCACGGTCCACCCTGGAATCTGATTTCTATAACCAAATTGTGATTTTTATAACGAAATTATGGTAGCAACCGCCAATAAAGTTACAGCCCTCCATCCACTGCTTCAAAAGTCTTCTCTAGCACATATGAGACTTTAGGTAAAATATGATGATCACCACCCCCTTGGAACCCCATAATCTGAGTCGGCGGGTTTTTTTATGACTGGTAAAATTTTTGACCGGGAAAAATATGGCGGAATCTTCCAAAACCCACCACTTTATCCCGGTTATAATAATCCCGAGTAAGGTAGTTAGAAAATGAGCCTATAATCAGTCATTCGAATCCTATTGAGGGATTTGAAATTAAACAATTAAATAACTTTTTATTAAACTGTGAAGTAAAAAAGTAAATATCGTGATTAAACTATGAAGCCTACCCTGAGTGATTGTAAGACGGATAATTTATCTTTTAATTCGTTGTGAAGAAGTTCCAGATGTTGTTGCTTCTCGTTCAAACTGTGCTGTAAATAAAACAATGTGTAAGCTGGTGATCAGAAAAACTTGGAACCACCGTCCGACCAGTTCTCAGGTTCAAAGGAATGCAATAAAGTATGATTAGGTGCATACCAAGAGTTGTTGACGTTCCTTCTCTGTTTCACCTAGTGCAGATTCGCTGTTACCCATTACTGATTTTAGTCGCACTACTTCATCTGAGAGCTCATGTAACTGTGTTAACATCTCATCTCGCTCTTTACGCAGCTCTGCTAGTTGCACTTCATACCCTGTAATCATTAAACAACGTTATCTATTATATAACTATTAATCAAATAACATATTTAAACTATACATAAATAAGTTAACTATTAAGTTAACTATTATTTAACTATTACTTACTTAGTGTTAGTACTGAAATAATTAAACCAATTTTCAGACTGATGACCTACAATATTTCAGTTCCGGACAAGAAAAGGACAGTAATCTCGTATCGATAAAGAAGAATACCATAAACAAAGCAAACTCCGAGTTACCTTCAATGAGAGCTTGTTTCTCATTAGCAGCCTCAGCCTCGAGCGCGTCACGAATAGCTTGACTATTAGCACGTGACACTTCCAACACTTCTTCTAGTTCTTTCTCACTTGATTCTTTCACCAGCCTTATTTCCTCCAACTTCTGCTTCTGAAGCTCAACCTCCCTGTTTAAAGTGGTCTAGTTAAGGGAACCTCACAGTTGGTTTGGGCAAAATATTTGAAAAATGGCATATTGATCTATAAAATACGAGGCCAAAAATGAACAGAAAAAAATCAACCTTTCATTAGATTTCAGTCTATGATCGAAATTTGACCATCATCAGACGTAAAATCTCATGAAAAATGGATTGGCGATTGTCTGAAAAAATATTCCTTTTTTTTCTTATGGACCAAACGTAAGGGGTCAACCTACAAAATGAGGGGTATCTAGAATTGAGATTGAACCATCTATTAATGTGAAATTGTTGACGGTCTAGAAGCCGAAGGCTTACAATCTCCTCAATCCCCGCCCCCATATGAAGGAACTACGCAGGAGGGGCCGATGGCTTTGCGAATTAATAATAAACAGTAGATCTTACAAGCACATTTAATAATGATTAGATTAGGTGGCTATACAAGTGACTCTAGCTGCAGATCGTGTAGCCTGATTATCTGTGTATGAATTTATGAATTATTCTACTGCATTATTCTGAGAAATGAAAATGAACTCTGTGCAATGTTATTTATACAATCATAGGAAATAATTTACAAGACCTGAGTCTAGCTCTCTTTACTTAAGTAATATGCAGCAATCACCGACGTTTTTTAAACAAAATGCATTGCGTGAGCCTACATAGTGCGAAATTAAATAATGTTGTATAATGCGACTTGTATTCACTACTACTATATTATACTACATAAAAATAGTAGTAGTAGTAGTAGTAGTAGTAGTAGTAGTAGTAGTAGTAATGAAAACGTACCTTTCAGATGAGGAGGCTAAGTGCTCCTCCATAGAAAGCTTATATTCTGCTTTCAAACGAGATATTTCCTCATCCTTCACATTTATATCCTGAGAATTAAAAAGATAAAAACATATACACACTGAAATCTGAAAGCTTCACATTTTATGGAATAGATCACAACCCATCAAAAATCTTCTCAGTAAGCTATGAAAAAGGATAGCTTACGGAAAATTAAAAATAATCATCAGAACCTACCTTCTTTAACTGGTTTGATTTATCCTCCCAAATACCAATAGTTTTGGCATGTTTCTCCTTGAGACGGCCAAATTCATCCTCTTTCTCCAGCAACTTGTCGTTAAGTTTCTTTAACTCAAACTTTAGTTTCTCATTCTCCACCGAGTGGAGCTGTGATAATTCGTCCAACTCTCCTATTTTACCTGAAATAGTACGATAATGAGGGTGATAGTGTCAGAGTATCATTTAGTTTCTACAAAATTCTACTTACGGTGATCGAGTGTGTCTTATATCCTAGCACCTTGCCTAATCGTCCGGTTATATATTGTGATCCTGGACCTATGTGGCAACAAACAAAAGACAACAAAACAATAATTTAAACAAAGGATGTATGGTAAGGTAAAATAGGATTCGGAGTTCGGTATTCGGAGTTTGGTTACCGGATATATTCGGCCGACCGAATATTCAGAAATGAGAAATTCGGTCAACCGAATATATTCGGTGGATCCGAATCATGGGATCTTTGCTGACGAATACATTTGGTACCGAATACCGAATATTTGATGATTCGGTAACCCTAGTCGTGGCACGTGTGGATTGTGGAATTATAAATTCGAGGTATCCAACTGGTAGAACTAGAGAAGAAAGAAAGGTTACTAATACTATCTTAAAAGTGTTCAATTTGAAGGGAAGGAAAAAGATAAGATAACCAATACCCATGAATCAACAAACTTCTGTCTCATGAAAGAAGGATATTTTAGGTAAATTATGAAGTTATTCAAACATTGAACAGATTAGTAAGAAATAATCTAGCAACCTGCTTCAACAGTACGTTGATTATCACCATCTTTATTCATACTATAAACATAGCAACAATACTATCAGAAAAATTGAAACCGGAATCGGAATTGATTTTACAGAATTACACACTGTTCAACTTCATAAGCAGTTGAAAAAACTAGAGTGCATATGATAATTTATCTCGTTTGCTCGCTAAATAAATTCTTATTTTGAGTTTACACACATATTTAAATACCGGCCTTCTATGGGAGCTCATGTGGCATCTTTGTGGTTACCATCTGTTTAAATTCTTGTGTTCTTTGAACAAAGCGATATAGTTGGATTACCATTCTGCTTCCAAAAAAAGTATGGTAAGTCAAGCCTAGCAATGGATAGGTGCCAGTTAAAAGTTTTGGACGCAGATATTTGAAATAATGAACGGTTTACAAGACAAACGGTACTTGAACAAGATAAAGGTGCCGGAATAAGAGCAATAACCCAACACTAATAGTTCTGTACCGTAACTAGGTAAGTGCCGGAATAAGACCAATAACCCAACACTAATAGTTCTGTACCGTAACTAGGTAAGTGCCGGAATAAGACCAATAACCCAACACTAATAGTTCTGTACCGTAACTAGGTAAGTGCCGGAATAAGACCAATAACCCAACACTAATAGTTCTGTACCGTAACTAGGTAAGTGCCGGAATAAGAGCAATAACCCAACACTAATAGTTCTGTACCGTAACTAGGTAAGTGCCGGAATAAGACCAATGCCCTAACACTAATAGTTCTGTACCGTAACTAGATAAGTGCCGGAATAAGACCAATAATCCAACACTAATAGTTCTGTACCGACTACCGTAAATAGGTAAGTGCCGGAAGAAGAGAAATAACCCAACACTAATAGTTCTGTACCGACTACCGTGACTAGGTAAATAATAAACATCTTACCAGCTTTTTTATTGCTCTCGTCAGCAAATCTTCTAGCAGCTGTTTCCTGCGCTGATAAATCATTCTTTACCTGCAAAAACTTGTGTGAGACTGATACTTTAATTTGAATATTCACGGACTCTAGTTCGACACACACGTACTCCAGGGACAAAAGGATTTCGCGATTATTTTGGCCAAAAATCGCGATACCGCGAATTTTAACAGACTATACATTCGACATAGTGAGGGTGATAAAGCTATACATTATGGTACTAATTGAGGTATGATTCTTCAAAATAGGGACAAGAAATGTAAATTTGTCCACATCAAGCCATAGCATTAGTTAGATACAGATTTTCTTAATATCAACTGTCCTCATTATAGCTAGGAATGGATTTATATAGGAAACTGTTTGAAACCATGCCCATTCATTTTTCATTCACATTGAAATTATACTGTTGGGCAGGAAAAGTAAATTTCGTCACATTTCGGTAATAAAGTAGTGATATCAAAAAGACTCCTGCATTGTTTATACTTGGGTTCTGATTTGCTGGAAATAAACAAACCAAGTAATTCTGGAAAGAAAATTGAATTTTTAACTGAGGTATGGTCTTTAAAAATAGGGCAAAGAAATGTAAATTTTCGTCACATACGTAATTTTAAAATTTAGATAGATTTTATTTCCTACCAATAGTCATATTATAGTCGAATGGATTTATACAAGAAATGTAGAAACCCATGCCAATTTTTTCATCACATTGAAACTATACTGTTGGGGCAGGAAAAGTGAAAATTTTCGTTTCACATTGCTATACTTAGTAAAATTAAACTCAGCATTGTTAAATTGAGTTCTAATTTGGCCTGACCAATACCAACCAATAATTCCTGGAGAAAGTTGAATATTTAGCGAGGGGTATGGTTCTTAAAAATAGGGGCAAGGAAATGTAAATGTTTACATACGTCATTTTAAAAATTTAGATAGATTTCTTTCCTATAATAGTCCTTATTCTAGTTAGAATGGTTTTATTTATACAAGAAATGTAGTAACCCATGCCAATTTGTCATCACATTGCAAACTATAAGTTGGGGCAGGAAAGTGAATTCGTCACATTTCCAATAACTTAGTAAAATTAAATCAGCATTGTTATACTTGAGTTCTAATTTGCTGAACATAACCAACCAATAATTCTGGAAGAAAATTGAATTCTAACCGAGGTATGGTTCTTCAAAATAGGGTCAAGAAATTGTAATTTCGTCTCATACGAGTACGTCATTGTAAAGTTAGATACAATTTTCTTCACGTGATCCAGTCTAATTACAGTCCGAAATGATTAATACAGGAGATACAGGAAATATAAAAACCCCTGCCATTTTTATAAGGTTAGTAATATGTTAATCACAGACTATTTCATTCTATAATCATTGTTTCCCAAATTTAACCTATTTTATGATGTCTTATCATTTTGGTATGACGATGTTTACATCAATCTGCCCATTTTTTTTTTTTTCTTTGAATCTAATGTTTCGTGTTTCGTCCTTATATAGAGTTTCCCGCAACTTGTAAACCTATTTACGATGTCGTTATCTTTTTTGTGACGATGTTTACGTACAATCTGCCTATACTTGAATAAACTGTATCGTGTATCGTCCTTATATTGATTTCCCGCAAAATGTAACTATTTTCGATGTCGTATCAATTTGCTGACGGATGTCTACATCAACTGCCCCTATACTTGAATCAACTGTATTCCGTGTATCGTCCTATATAGTGTTTTCCGCCTTCCAAACCAGAATCAGATTATAATGATTTCGGAAATTCACCCAGGAATTTCAAATTCCATATAATGTGACCAAAATTTACAGCATTTCCCAATAACAAGTGATGTATTAGCTAACTTTTCAAAAACAACATATTTTAGGGGCTATGATTGGCAGAAGAACCATCAAATATTGAGTTGAAAGGGTTTTGAGGACACCTCACAGTAGAAAAAGAGGTCTCGTATTCTGAGTGTGGAAAAGTTTACGAATATTGCCTTAAAGCCGTTCGATCCGTTGCCCTTTAACCAATGTTGTATCCCCTTTTCTATCATAATTGTTAGATTGACCCTAATCTACGATATTTCAGACCAAGAAATGATTTAATTTCGGGCGGTATGGTAAACAATGTACAAAAATGGGACATTTTTACATTATAGTGCCTACAAGCAATACATTTTTATTTCTGAGCAGTGCATATGGAGTATGGGTGAAAAGTAAAGTTTACCCCATTCTGGGCAAGAAAAGTGAGAATCACGGTCCACCCTGGAATCTGATTTCTATAACCAAATTGTGATTTTTATAACGAAATTATGGTAGCAACCGCCAATAAAGTTACAGCCCTCCATCCACTGCTTCAAAAGTCTTTTTCTAGCACATATGAGACTTTAGTAAAAATTGATGATCACCACCCCCTTGGAACCCCAATAATCTGGTCGGCGGTTTTTTTTATGACTGGTAAAATTTTTGACCGGGAAAAATATGGCGGAATCTTCCAAAACCCACCATTTATCCCGGTTATAATAATCCCGAGTAAGGTAGTTAGAAAATGAGCCCTATAATCAGTCATTCGAATCCTATTGAGGGATTTGAAATTAAACAATTAAATAACTTTTTATTAAACTGTGAAGTAAAAAAGTAAATATCGTGATTAAACTTTTGAAGCCTACCCTGAGTGATTGTAAGACGGATAATTTTCTTTTAATTCGTTGTGAAGAAGTTCCAGATGTTGTTGCTTCTCGTTCAAACTGTGCTGTAAATAAAACAATGTGTAAGCTGGGTGATCAGAAAAAACTTGGAACCACCGTCCGACCAGTTCTCAGGTTCAAAGGAATGCAATAAAGTATGATTAGGTGCATACCAAGAGTTGTTGACGTTCCTTCTCTGTTTCACCTAGTGCAGATTCGCTGTTACCCATTACTGATTTTTAGTCGCACTACTTCATCTGAGAGCTCAGTAACTGTGTTAATTCTCATCTCGCTCTTTACGCAGCTCTGCTAGTTGCACTTCATACCCTGTAATCATTAAACAACGTTATCTATTATATATAACTATTAATCAAATAACATTTTTTAAACTATAAGTTAACTATTAAGTTAAACTATTATTTAACTATTACTTACTTAGTGTTAGTACTGAAATAATTAAACCAATTTTCAGACTGATGACCTACAATATTTCAGTTCCGGACAAGAAAAGGACAGTAATCTCGTATCGATAAAGAAGAAATACCATAAACAAAGCAAACTCCGAGTTACCTTCAATGAGAGCTTGTTTTCATTAGCAGCCTCAGCCCCGAGCGCGTCACGAATAGCTTGACTATTAGCACGTGACACTTCCAACACTTCTTCTAGTTCTTTCTCACTTGATTCTTTCACCAGCCTTATTTCCTCCAACTTCTGCTTCTGAAGCTCAACCTCCCTGTTTAAAGTGGTCTAGTTAAGGGAACCTCACAGTTGGTTTGGGCAAAATATTTGAAAAATGGCATATTGATCTATAAAATACGAGGCCAAAAATGAACAGAAAAAAAATCAAAACCTTTCATTAGATTTCAGTCTATGATCGAAATTTGACCACATCAGACTTTAAAATCTCATAAAAAAATGGATTGGGATTGTCTAAAAAAATTTTTCCTTTTTTTTCTTATGGACCAAACGTAAGGGGTCAACCTACAAAATGAGGGGTATCTAGAATTGAGATTGAACCATCTATTAATGTGAAATTGTTGACGGTCTAGAAGCCGAAGGCTTACAATCTCCTCAATCCCCGCCCCCCATATGAAGGAACTACGCAGGAGGGGCCGATGGCTTTGCGAATTAATAATAAACAGTAGATCTTACAAGCACATTTAATAATGATTAGATTAGGTGGCTATACAAGTGACTCTAGCTGCAGATCGTGTAGCTGATTATCTGTGTATGAATTTATGAATTATTCTACCTGCATTATTCTGAGAAATGAAAATGAACTCTGTTGCAATGTTATTTATACAATCATAGGAAATAATTTACAAGACCTGAGTCTAGCTTCTTTACTTAAGTAATATGCAGCAATCACCGACGTTTTTATTAACAAAATGCATTGCGTGAGCCTACATTAGTGCGAAATTAAATAATGTTGTATAATGCGACTTGTATTCACTACTACTATATTATACTACATAAATAGTAGTAGTAGTAGTAGTAGTAATAGTAGTAGTAGTAGTAGTAGTAATGAAAACGTACCTTTCAGATGAGGAGGCTAAGTGCTCCCTCCATAGAAAGCTTCTTATATCTGCTTTTCAAACGAGATATTTCCTCATCCTTCACATTTTATATCCTGAGAATTAAAAAGATAAAAACATATACACACTGAAATCTGAAAGCTTCACATTTTATGGAATTGATCACAACCCATCAAAAATCTCTCAGTAAGCTATGAAAAAGGATAGCTTACGGAAAATTAAAATAATCATCAGAACCTACCTTCTTTAACTGGTTTGATTTATCCTCCCAAATACCAATAGTTTTGGCATGTTTCTCCTTGAGACGGCCAAATTCATCCTCTTTCTCCAGCAACTTGTCGTTAAGTTTCTTTAACTCAAACTTTAGTTTCTCATTCTCCACCGAGTGGAGCTGTGATAATTCGTCCAACTCTCCTATTTTACCTGAAATAGTACGATAATGAGGGTGATAGTGTCAGAGTATCATTTAGTTTCTACAAAATTCTACTTACGGTGATCGAGTGTGTCTTATATCCTAGCACCTTGCCTAATCGTCCGGTTATATATTGTGATCCTGGACCTATGTGGCAACAAACAAAAGACAACAAAACAATAATTTAAACAAAGGATGTATGTAAGGTAAAATAGGATTCGGAGTTCGGTATTCGGAGTTTGGTTACCGGATATATTCGGCCGACCGAATATTCAGAAATGAGAAATTCGGTCAACCGAATATATTCGGTGGATCCGAATCATGGGATCTTTGCTGACGAATACATTGGTACCGAATACCGAATATTTGATGATTCGGTAACCCTAGTCGTGGCACGTGTGGATTGTGGAATTATAAATTCGAGGTATCCAACTGGTAGAACTAGAGAAGAAAGAAAGGTTACTAATACTATCTTAAAAGTGTTCAATTTGAAGGGAAGAAAAAGATAAGATAACCAATACCCATGAATCAACAAACTTCTGTCTCATGAAAGAAGGATATTTTAGGTAAATTATGAAGTTATTCAAACATTGAACAGATTAGTAAGAAATAATCTAGCAACCTGCTTCAACAGTACGTTGATTATCACCATCTTTATTCATACTATAAACATAGCAACAATACTATCAGAAAAATTGAAACCGGAATCGAATTGATTTTACAGAATTACACACTGTTCAACTTCATAAGCAGTTGAAAAAACTAGAGTGCATATGATAATTTATCTCGTTTGCTCGCTAAATAAATTCTTATTTTGAGTTTACACACATATTTAAATACCGGCCTTCTATGGGAGCTCATGTGGCATCTTTGTGGTTACCATCTGTTTAAATTCTTGTGTTCTTTGAACAAAGCGATATAGTTGGATTACCATTCTGCTTCCAAAAAAAGGATGGTAAGTCAAGCCTAGCAATGGATAGGTGCCAGTTAAAAGTTTTGGACGCAGATATTTGAAATAATGAACGGTTTACAAGACAAACGGTACTTGAACAAGATAAAGGTGCCGGAATAAGAGCAATAACCCAACACTAATAGTTCTGTACCGTAACTAGGTAAGTGCCGGAATAAGACCAATAACCCAACACTAATAGTTCTGTACCGTAACTAGGTAAGTGCCGGAATAAGAGCAATAACCCAACACTAATAGTTCTGTACCGTAACTAGGTAAGTGCCGGAATAAGAGCAATAACCCAACAGTCAACACTAATAGTTCTGTACCGTAACTAGGTAAGTGCCGGAATAAGAGCAATAACCCAACACTAATAGTTCTGTACCGTAACTAGGTAAGTGCCGGAATAAGAGCAATAACCCAACACTAATAGTTCTGTACCGTAACTAGGGAAGTGCCGGAATAAGAGCAATAACCCAACACTAATAGTTCTGTACCGTAACTAGGTAAGTGCCGGAATAAGAGCAATAACCCAACACTAATAGTTCTGTACCGACTACCGTAACTAGGTAAATAATAAACATCTTACCAGCTTTTTTATTGCTCTCGTCAGCAAATCTTCTAGCAGCTGTTTCCTGCGCTGATAAATCATTCTTTACCTGCAAAAACTTGTGTAAGACTGATACTTTAATTTGAATATTCACGGACTCTAGTTCGACACACACGTACTCTAGTTCGACAACTTCAGTTCGCCAGAAATCACCCCTGTCGAACTTCGATACGTGTCAAATTAGAATCTAGGTAGCGTACTCTAGTTCAACAGAGTAGAACTTTCGGGTTTGTCGAACTACAGTACGTGTTGGACTATAGTGCGTGTCGAACTAGAGCACGTGTACCTAATTTGAAACAAGTTGAGTCATATGACTCCCATTCATCAAATCTTAAAACAGTTTTTATTTCAAAGGCTACTGTATTTTTATTTTAGCAAGCAGGTGAGGTTAATTAAAATATAATATAATATTACATTGGCAAGTTCCTGTAGAGCATTATCAAGATCTCGTCTCGTTTCCATGAACTTGCCCTCAAGCTCATCAACCTCACTCTTCAGTCGCTCATTCTGAAGAAAAGGACATTTTAGAATTGTTTACCACAGCACATGGTATTGTCAGGTTAGGTAAAGATGCAATTCGGTTTCATTAAATATAAACAATTTACATGATAAAAATAAATAATATTTAACTACAGAATGGTATCCTACCTCCTTTCCAAGGGCCTCTTTTTCAGCAGCATGATTGGCCTTTCTGGCCTCCGCAGCCTCAACCTCCTTGGTCAGTATTGAGATCCTGTTATTGCTTTGGTATTCTCCTTGTTCCATCAGCTGCTTCAATGTGGACACCTAGATATTATATAGTGTTGTGAGGATATTATGGTAGTTAACCTATCATTAACAGAAGCACAGATTTTCTGCCAGTCGAGTCATTGTCGACTGCCGCATTTTCTGATTTACTATAAAATCTTCATCAGGCTTGAAAATTCAGAAAGTCAGAACAACCAAAATCACGATTTTAAACCACAAATTTATAAATAACAATCAACTCGGGTTGATGAAAACATTCCCCACACACGCAAAGCAAGAGCTCCCGTACAAGCGAACTTATAATGGAGTATTTAATGATACCATGTTAGAGATCAAATGATCTTTTTAGCGACACGGTACAAATAATGCATGTGATATGTTGACTGATCAAAAACAACAGCTTGAACGTTATGTATATGTATGAAAAATAGGTACCGTTATATAAACCAACTAAATGAAATGCAATGGCAATAAAGTAATAAATTACGATTACTTGATAAATACCGAGTAGCCGAGTGATTGAATGAAACACAATTTGGTCACTACACCGGCATAACTGAGCGATATAAATCTTTCCACCGTATTACAAAGTAGGATACCGGACTACACAATCTATCCTCTATCAGCGTGATAGAATGACAACAAGGACCGAGGTGAACACATGTTTACAAGATATTTAGAGTGCACCTCTTTAGCGAAACTTGCCATCAGATGGAAACTGGTAAGCCTGATCGAGCGAATGAAAGATTTCGTGTGCTATGAAAATAACCTTAAATCGAGAAATCGCGGTGGTCTCATTATATGCGGAGTTCACCAAAAACATTTGATTTCAAACACGAGGTTACAAACACAAGGTCACAAACACAAGGTCACAAACACAAGGTTGAAACCTCACCTCCTCTTCAAGCTGAGCTATCTGAGTTTTGTATAGGGTACTGAGAGACGACTTCTCAGTGCTGACCTGCGACGCCAGCTCCTCGCGGTGTTTCTGTTTCAATGCACTGATTTCTTTATCGTAATTCTTCATGAGATCGTCCATTTTCTTCTCATGAGCCGCCTGCTGCTGTTCAGCCACCTGAGAGACAAGACGGAGGTAACATACAGCAATTGACGGAATGTTGCATTAAACACAACGGTTAGGAATAATGTTCGTGATAATGATGAAGCTTTGCCATTTAGCAGAGGTGCCTCTCTACTATCCAGCCCTGCCACTAATTGAAAAATATAGTGATAAAATAACAGTTTTAAACAATCAGGTATCTGTTGATTGTAGAATCTGCCGACATGCATATTATATCATCTTCCTGCAGCAAACACTTTTAATTTTTATACGCTTGTTTCATGTTGATATAACATCAAACACACACAAACTGAAGATTTTATCGGTTAATTTTTCAAACCTCTTTGAGAAGTTCAAGTTCGTTTTCATGCTTCTCTTTCAAGGATTTCAGCATGATGCTTGAAGCGTCGTGTTGGTTGGATCTCTCAGCGAACTCGGCAGTCTTAGACTGAAACTCAGACTTCATGTTTTCCAGCTCGTATTTCAGAGTTCTCATTTGTTCTTCATATGCTTTCTTTAACGTGTCCTCGCGATCTGAGCGGTTTTTAATTTTCACAAAAGTTTCTCTCTAGGAGTCTTGAAATGTCATTAAAAGAGTATAAGAATGTTCTATAGTGTTTCCAAGACGAATAGCTTTCAACTTTATCACACTGTCACTGTCTCATGTTTAAGTATTCAACTATACTTGTGACTTGATAAACTGTATTACAGTTTGAAATTTAAATCTTGAGTATAGCCGTCTATAAAAACCGACGAGTTTTGCAGTTCATACAGCATTATAGATCAACTTTATATTTTGACAAATTGATGAAATTAAACAACAACTTGTTAAAAAACAGTGCTGTTGTATTAATAATTGCCACTTTAAATCTAGCAAATTTCATCAAGCAATCTGACCACAACTATGTGTTTTAACACATTTCTCTATATCTAATTCACACCAGGTGATGCTACCAGGTCCGGGTAGCAAGCACAAGATACGTGTCAAATAAAACCACATTGATCAGATGATCTTACCTTGTGTGTGTACTTTGAACTTTTTAAATTCATTCACAGCATCCTGGTTGGTCTGGTCGTATTCGAATATTCTGTTCCTTAAATCTAAGATGGCCTCCTTGTCGTTCCTCTGGTTTGCTACAACAGTTTGCAACTTAACGATTTGCTCCTCTGCACTCGCTAATACCTGATAATGAGAAAGTTTAAGAAAGAAACTTAAGTTTTGACAGTACATTCTCAGAATAGTATTTCATGAACAAACATCTAAACAATAAACATGTATTGAACAAATTTTAAAACAATTTGAAAAACTTAAGTATTGTCACAAATCTTGATTCTTGACACGACATTCTCAGAATAGTAAATTTTCATTAACAGACGTCTAAAATATGATAATCAAAAAAACCTGATGTTCAATAATTTACTAACCTTTTTCAATTCGAGTTCGTGAGCTTCTTGAAGGCAAGAAATGTGAGCGTCATGTTCATCGTTTTTAGTGTTGAGGGCATACACGACCTGAGGGTTTATCAGATAACGACAACAAATAACATAACAGTGAAATAACAATTATTGATTGTCCGCAAAGTCATCCCACATAAAATACCATACATCTGTATAAAATGCAATAGAATCTACTATAAAGAGCACTGAAAACTCACTTTGGTTAATTGGGCAATTTTCTTGCTCATTTTCAGGTGAAGCTCAGGTGTCATGGGCCCATCAAGGCCATTTTGATTTGCATTCATTCTACAATCTGAAATTATAAAGGTAAAATTACTTTGTGAATTTTAGTCAATGTTTAGAGTCAATGTTTAGAGTAAGATCTAGTTAGATTTGCTTTGATAAATTAAAAATAGTATATTATAAATATCTCATCTTTTGGAGTTTGGACGTTGCATACTATACACATGAATTACCTTTTCACAGAAGAAATGAGCTGCGGTTGTTGTTGAACAGTTGCAGAAACGTCTTGATGTATCACCACTGCACAGCAATTGAGGTCATGTGGTGCAATGTCAGGAGCAACACGTCAGTCCACGGAAAATCATCACGATATCGCCTCTAACTTGCACTAGTAAAACAGAATAGAGTAATTAAACGAAATTTTGCTTCATATACCGACAATCAATATCATATCATAACTAGAATGCCTGTGGTCACAGTGGGGAAGCTATAGTATTCTTTAATTTTTTATCACATCAAAAATATTCATCACATCAGAAGATACATTAAAATGTAAAACAAACTCCACACAACGTAAGTAACAAATAGAACATAATCTCGTTTTAACATTCACTGCAAGTGCATGTACGCATCCACCCACGTTAATATAATACAACTTGCTAATTTGCATGTGGGCAATTATACAAAGAAACTTTCATTTTATAATATAGATAGTAAATATCACAATTATATTGAATAAAAACAGCAACAAAGCTATTTGGCCAGAAGCAAGCCATGGGCCAGTAAGCTGGTAAGGTCAGATTACGGCTCATGTAGTACTGCCAGAGCTCGACCGGGATTTGGCGTTTTAAATTTCCTACCCCGGGCCGGGGATTACCTTTTTTGGCCCCGGGATCATGGCTTTAACTTCCGTTGGCGCCCCCTGCCGAAAAAAGCCCCCCCTTTGGCGCCCCCCCCCCCTTTTTTGGTGCCCCCCCCTAAAATTGAAAAAATTGGGTGATTTTAGAAATTTCCCGCCAAAAAAACTTAAAAAAAGTGTGTATCAGAGAAAAACCCGCGCATTTTTGCTAGTATTTGGGTTAAGTTTTTCCAAATTTTGTCCCCCACTTTAAAAAAACGAGGGATTTGGGGCCCCCCCAAGCCCGGCGCCCCCCTGCACAGGGGGGTCAGCAGGGCCTTTCTTAAACGCCCACTTGGCCGGGATATTACCCGGGTTTTTTGGGAAAAAATTTTTTTCAATTTTTTTTAATTTCCAATTTAGCTTAAAATTCAATTTTTACTTTGACTAAGACAAATAAAACGACGGGTTTAAGAATCAAACCAAAACGAAATAAAATCGAAACTCGAAGGATTGACCCAATTTCAGGCTCACTTTCATCCGAAATTAATGGGTTATTTGGGGGGTCAAAATTTTTGGGCCTTTTTTTTGTTTTTTTGGGGGTTCGGTTTTGGGGAAAGGGGGGGGGGGCCCCCCCTGCTTTAAAAAGGGGACCTTATAAAAATCAAAATATTTTAAAACTTAATCTTTTAACCAAAATTAAAAATTTAAATTTTCGGGGGAAAATTTTAAATTAGGTATTATAAAATTTAAAATAGTTAATAATTTAAAAAAATTTGATAAAAAGGCCCCCCTTTAACGGGGGCAATAATAACCTTAAAAAATTTATATAAACAAAATTTCAGTCTATTTTTCCCAAAGGTTTTTAAAGTTTTCTCTTTTAATCTGTTTTTGGTGTTTTTTTGGGATTTTCCCAAAATTTTTTGGTTGAGAAGCCCAACATAACATACATGATGTTTTCCTCCCTTTTAATTGACCCGCCCAGGCCCCGGGGGCAGACATCCCAACACCAGTGCGTTGGGACATAGTGTTGGTCTGCTCACAGGACGTGTTAGATCCTAGAGAAGCCGCCATCCCCTCTACTGCTTTAGCTCAGCGGCAGCATGAGCCCTGGTTTCCTGCCACATTGGTACCTCTGAAAGTACAGAAAAGTGGTGGATTTCGGGGTCCAGGATCCTCCCCTCTTTAATCTTTACGGTGGTGTATTTCTCTGAGAGTTTGCAGAGTCCTTATTTTATGATCTTTCTAGGTTTAGTTGGATAAATCCTGGAGAGCATCATTTTGACCCAAAGAATCCGACTCCTTCTAAGGCATGCTTTTTGTGTGCTGCTTTTGTTAACACTTCATCTAGATAGGAATGTGAGTCAGCCCCACCAGCTCTTCTTTTAGCTGCAGGTAACTGGTGTCTTGCACCTCCAGACACAATAGGAGCTGGTGTACAGGAGAATCATCGAAGCTGTTGCAGAACGACAGGCCTCACCACTGTCACCACCCATGATCTTTTGGATATTCGCAAAGAGTGGTGAGCTGCCGTGAATGTAGTCCATTATTTCGGCTGTCCAGATTTTTTACTCGTGTTGTGCCCGAATAGAAGTTGTTTTTTGTCTAGGAGCAGCCCACTGTTTTTGATCTTTGTAATCACACCAAGTATCTTGGTCTCCTTGTTGTTACTGACAGTTCTGCATTGCAGATTTGTTTCGATGCTGTCAATCCAGATCTTATTTTTGTAGCTCATTATGGCTGCCTGAGTGTAATAGGCCAGATCCTTGAAATGTTGCTGCGTTAGGTCTATCATTCTGGTTCCGTGTGACTTATTTTTCTTTCCAAAGGAAGTACTTTTCAGTGACATTGTTAAGACTGAAAGCTTGGTATTCTGCTTTCGTCAACTTGGTAGAGTGTAGCTGAGAGGTTGTCACTTGTGTGAGTACTTTGCACATGAATTTAACCGAAAGAGCTTCGTGTTGCACATCCAGTGGTGGGAGGTGGAGAGCAAGTTCGGTTAATTCCCTTTGTGGATTCAGGACTGATCCAGATATTTTTAGAATGATTTTATTCCAGAAGCTTTTAAAATTGATTGAGACACTTGTGAAGCCAAATAGGTGCTGCGAAGAACAGTTTAGTGAGGACCATTGTTTAAGGAGGAGAGTGAGGCTGTAAACGTTTAGACCGGTAGTTGCGGTTAGTTGATTTTGTTATTAATCCCCACTTTCTTTTGCATTCTTTAAGTTTTTGAGACGCATGTTTCTTGAAATTGAGGTCTTCATCTACTATTACCACCCCCAAGGACCTTTGTGCTTGGACGTAGTTGATGCTTTTCTCATTAATACATAATTCTGCAGGTTTCTGTTCTTCAGTATAAGCTGGCAGTTTTCAAGATTATGGCCTCCGTTTTATTCGTAACACAGTCACTACTAGCTTGTTCTTGATGCACCACTTGCTGAGGTGGTTCACAAACCATCTGCATTTTTTCATGGCATCCGGAGGTGTTCTCGAAAGGAAATCATAAGTGTACCGTCATCAGCAAATTTGTAGCAGCTTAGATATCTTTTTACTTCTTCCCGGGGTGTTGTGTGTCATGTCTGCTATGTATAGGAGAAGAGGAGAGGTGAGAGTACAGCCCCCTGAGGTAGTCCAAATATTGTACCAGTTTCTTTTTTTCTCCTTTATAGTTTTTCACTTTTAGACATATCGTCCGGTTGAACAGGAAATTTCTCAGCACGTTAAGAATATTTCCTTGAATACGCGAGAGTTGATTAGTTTGACACATAGTGATGGGAGAATGAACACTATCAAATGCCTTTTCGAAGTCAAGGACAAGCACTATACATGCCAGCTTCTGTCTTTTAACTTCCTCAAGGTTAGCCAGCATTCTGAAAAGATATCGCGTTGTTGATCTCCCTCCAATGAAACCTTCTTGATCTTCATCAAGAGTTCCTTCAATGTCCAGGAAGAGTCCTCAATCTTTTAACTAGCACTCTTTCACAAATCTTCCAAAGTAGGATGAAATGGAAATCGGTCTATAACGCACCAGGTAACATGTAGCTGGATTTTCCTTCTTTCCTTAAGAATGTTACATCTGAAGTTTTTCCACAGCCATTTTCCTGTGCTCATACACCAGTAAATATATCTGCAAGACGTGAAGACAATTTGTTTTCATATGTTTGAGGATGGTAGGGTGAATATTGTCTGCATCACATGATTTGTCATTTGTTTCTTGCCTTTCTATAGCTGCTTTTATCTCGTCCATAGAATAGGGTTGTTCAGCGGATCATCTTCATTGTAACTACTTGCAGATTGCTGCTAACATTCTGTAATTTACTGAACTCGTTATTTTACATGCATGTCGTGCTCTTGGTCCTTGGGTTTGGTTTTGAAGGTGTTTTCCTGTGAAGAAAGTAGTAAATAACGATTCCTCCTTATCTTTTTCAGATGGTGACCAGCAAGTCACAGTCTTTGAGGTTGCAGATAAAATTGTCAGTTTTGGCCCCAAAAACTCGTTTATATTTTCTCCAGAATTGAGTGCAGTCTTTGGTGTTAAGTGTTCAGCTCTGTCACGAATCCATTCATTCTTTTCTTTAATCAGCGCTTTCTTGAATGATTCAGTGCTTTCAGTGAGTGTGGCCTTGTTTCTGGGAGATGATCTTTGCTTAAATCTTTCTTTCGCTTCTAGAGCTTCATTAGATAGAGTTTTAAGTGCAGGACACCAATATGGTTTTTGAATGAATGGATACAGTCTTCTGAGGGATGAACATTCGGTTAGCCTCCTGTATTTTATGTAATAACTTTCTGCCAAAAAGCGATCCCCCCCGGTTTAATAACCTGGGGGGCCCAACGAAGATGTTGACATTTGGGCCCATTGGATTTGTTCCATATTTTTTTTAGTCGCATTTTTTTTATCCTTTCACCCTCGGGGGGAGGTCCCCGATTTTGGGGGTCCCTCCCGCAATTTCTTGAAGCCCCCGGGAAAATGACCCCCTTCTTGGGGCAACCTGAAAAATTAAACAACATCGTTATCCAAACCCCTGATTTCCCCCAAATTTTAGATGGTGGGGCCTTTTGGCTAACACTAAGTCAATAAAACCCTTTCCCCCATTTTTTACAACAAAAAGTGCAACGGAAGGGAGCAGAGAGTTAGGGTTTCCTTTTCAAAAGTATCTAGAAGCTTCTTTTTTCGCTGCGTGGTACTCCCCCAGGGGCCTGTGTCTAGGGGCCCTTAAAGTCCCAAGAGGGAGAAGAGAGTTTGGGAAATTAATATTTTGGGCCCTTTTAAATTTTCTTGCTTAATATCAATGTGGGCAAGAAGTCCTTCAAATTTTCTTATGGAATCATTAGAGTTATTGCAAGGTTTGCAATAAATAAATAAATAAATACAACTTTTATAAACCGCCTTATAGCTAAATCATATAACGCGATATAATTTAATCCTGGAGATAAACTCCAGTGCTTTCTAAAGCGGCTCTTACATTAACTGAGCTAGTTTAATTGAAATTAGACATGACAAGTTCATTTTACCTATGTAAATGCAAAATCAATCAAATGCTAGAGAAAAGAA